TTTTATTAAGTAAAAATATAGTTAACTTATCTATGTTAGCTAATGAGACTGTTCCTTGGCCTTGGAAGTAATTAACGTACTACTTTAGGTAGTAAAACTGGGTATGCTAACATTTGAAGTGTAGATTTAAGCAGATAAACACGTTAAAATTATTCCTTACACTGTTTTTGGTTATCGAAAGGCCTAATAAAGTTGTTAAACGTTTTAGAAAACTGCATATTGGTCCTTGACAGGTCTGCCGTGCCTAGTTACTGTTGCTAAGCTATGATTGGACAATCGCTGTTTGGGGTTTAGCAGATGGTCACGTATGGTTGTCGGCTGTGTCACACTATATCTATATCTGTTAAAAACAGATTTTAACTATCAGTATCAGCTTTGCCTGGCTTCATCACTCTTGGAATTTCTCTGCAGGACAAGTATGTGACACGTGTGTCTTTTGTTTGTGTGTGTATGCATGTCAACAACCCATCTCTCACTGTGTCCCATGTTGTCAGCCTTACTGTGCCCACTCAAACAGCGCCAGTGGGCACAAACCCTTTTGAAGACGACGAAGAGGAAGAGGAGGAGGAGATGGCCGTGGAGCAGCAGACCTCAGTCAACCACATCAGTGTGAATAAAGAGGAAATAAAAACGTTGGTGAACAGGAGAAAACCCTCCGCCCACCCACAACCTCCCCGTCTTCTTTCTTTCTATCTTTGTTTAATGGATCGCCGTCCGTGCCGCGTCTCCTACCATTTCTTTGTCTTAGTTACTTTGCTCCCTTCTTCCTTGTAACCCTCTCTCCTCCCTCAGGTGGCCGGTTGTTGTGTTGCTCTGCATGGTCACTGGAACGGCATTGCACACGAAGCCAATGTGTGTGTCTGTCTTCCACTCCTAACAGTGCCATGTCTTGCAGAACATTAAATGTCATGGCGCATGGGGCGCATGTCTCTTCTGTGGGAAATCCCGTATTTTTCTGTCTTACAGTCAGATCTGAAAAGTTACACAGTTACACATATGTATATGTTATTTGTTTATATCAATGCCAGACAATTAACATGCTTTATAACATCAAAAAAGAGTGCAAATACAAATGCATGAAAGAACAATTAATATCCCAAATATGTGAATTCTACCTTTGGGTAAACCATCACACTGCTTTGTTGCCATAAATCAACTCAAATATTTACTTAATTGCTGAAGAAAAAAGCAAAATCAACGGTTTATTTGTAATAAAAGACACTGTGAATAGATCTGACTGTAAATCCTTTATATATATGTGCCGGTGTGTGTTTACTGTTTTTCATCTCCTAACTCTCGTCAGAGCCAAGTTCTCTCTGGTGTTTAGGTGGCTCCCTCTGTTGGCCGTTCAGGTTAAAATCCAATCATGCATTCACTTCAATGATTTGTCTTGCTTGGTCTTGCGTTGCTGTATTTTATTTTTTTCATGTGCCTTTTTGATATGTGGCCATGTATTTCTGTTGCATTACCTTCCTTCAGCATTGTGTGCACTCTCACTTGATCTCCAAGTGCCATCAGAGCAACTTTTAAATCGCTTGTCATGCTGCCTGAACCGAATGCTTGCTTTGTAGCACTGATGCCATGAGTAAGCATGTTTTCCTCTTATTTAGAGCTGAGAGGAGGATGTTTTTTTTTAGGACGAATCACAAAGCTGTCCCTGGATTATGAGATGCACTTTGGGCTTTTTTTGTGTGTGTTTTGCCTTTACTTTATTTGGTGTTACATTTTTATTTCTTCTCTCTTTTCTTCAACTTTTGTCCCTGTCGATGCAAAAGGCCCCCCGACCATAAACGTGTGAAAATAAATTTTCTAAGGGGCTATTTTGTCTGTCCGTCCAGTGCGAGCAGTGTGGAGAAGACTCCAGACTGGTCAGATGAAGACACAGGTGGAAACCCTTTCTCCGCCAACGGTGATGGGAATCCATTTGAAGATGAGCCAGCCTCTCCGGTCGTATCTGTGCCTGTCAAAGCCCTCTATGACTATGAAGGACAGGAGCAGGATGAGCTGAGCTTCAAAGCAGGTACATAGTGTGACTAGCGTAAAAGACCCCAAAACGTTATAATTCTTTCAGTTCCCAGTCGGTTTTTCTGCGATGCAAATAATCCCTTCTTTCTTCTTTCTCCAGGGGATGAGTTCACCAAAATTGGTGAAGAAGATGATCAGGGTTGGTGCAAAGGCCGGCTCAAGGACGGACAAACGGGCCTCTATCCTGCTAACTATGTGGAAGACGTCCAGTAATGAGTTATCACAAATGAATAAATGTGAAGAAAGAACAAAGTGGTGCGTTGCGAATGACGAGTGCGGCTGGAAAACTAGAAAGGCTCTGCTTTTGTGTTCAGTCCCTTTTTCTCCCTGTTGGTGAAGACTGGACTGGTGTGGGGAGACGGACAGAGAAGAGAAGTTGCAGATTGTAAAAGGACAGCTTGAGATATTGTTGCTTGCCACAGATTGACCCTCATAGAAACTATGTACAAGATGGAAATTAACCACAAGTTTCCAGATGATTCCAGGCGAGGAAGATCACAGAAAAAAAAAAAATGCTGGCAGCGTAAGATATGTTACTTAGAATCCCATTTATGCTGTTACAAAAATAATAGCTTTTCAAGTATATATTAGATAAAATGAAATGTATGTGTGAATTTATATATTGTTATGAAACACTGGGATGACAGTCTGACAAATCATCTTGCGATACTTGCGTTACATGCAGCCTTAATATGCAAGCCACTATGGATTCATTAAGGGAGATGACCTTCTTTATAACCATAATTATCTGATTTAGGTTTAAAACCTTTTCTTCCTGTTAGAATCCAGTCCATAAATGTTAATTGTTTTGGGGTTTTTTTTGGACAAAATAGGCCCTTATGTTGAGGTTATTGTCAGATTAACTTGATTTTAAGCTAGTGCTTACATTGTTCTGTCATTCCTTTCAGGGTTTTTTGTTTTTACATTCAGTTCATTTTTTTTTTTAAGGAATGATGAAGATCAATAGAGCCTTATTATATGACATAGACTTCATTTAGTTCTCAGTGGGTAGGTTTCTCTAGACACTGCCATTGAATGTATATTCACTGATTGTATTTCCTCACTTATTGATTGTTTTTTGATGATGTTGGGTTTTTGCAACCACTGACCCATTAACACCCCGAGCAACTGTCCTCAAGCTTTTCACAAAAAAATCTATCTGCTTTCTGTTGACTGTAGATTTATAATACTATGTGGGTTATTGTGTTTTCATGCGACACTGAACTTTTTTCACAAGTTTATCTCACTTGAATCGAAATGTTTTACCTACTCTCACTTCTTGTTAAATGTGTCAAGTTATGGGAGATATTTTTAGAGTTTTTTTGAAAACGTATTACAGGTTATAGCAATAAAAACCACAGCGTTGCATACATACATACATACATACATACATGCATGTAAATAGCCTGGATGAAACATATTAGAACAAATTAAGCGTTGAGATCAGATGATATGTAGTTGGAAATTGATGATTGTTAATTTATAATGCCACAAGTGCTTTTGTTCTACTCTTGTTAGAATGCTGTGACTGAGAATCGGTTTGTATAGTAATTGAATATTTTATGGCAAATATCCCTTGAATCTGTCATTTGTTATATTTGTAAATATGATAATTTTTTCCCCTTCACAGAGGGCCGTACTCATTTAATTAATCAACAAATACCATGTGAATAATTGTAAATTTTCTAGGAGCTATGACATGAATAGATATACCTGATTTCATGAGCTTAATACATATGTTTTGATCATTAAGTATTTTGTCAGCTTGCATCGGCTTTTATTTTACTTGCGCAAGCTCCAAATTTATTAATAAGCCCAATGTGTCGAAGAAATAATTGAAAATGCTGTTTGATGCCTTCAACTGCAGCACGAGAGGAAGATGAATTTTGTTTTTGTCTTTAATAATAGTGAGAAAGAAGATGTTTTGCCATGTTTTCAGGGCATGCTGTCATCAAAACGCAGCAACAGCTGTACTTGCACACACAGTAAGGTTTGTTAATGTTGTCCCACGACATAATAAATGAATTTATTGGAAAAAAAGGTTTTGTCTTTGTCTTTTAGTATTGAAATTGAAAAAAAAAAAAGTTTTATTTTCATATTATCAACATTAACTGGATCAAAAAATAGTTATAGTTTCCCATATAGTTAAGTTATAGATTAAATTTAATGTTATAAAGTTAATTTAACCATATAAATCCAAAAGTTGTTGAAATTTGTGCAATTCAACACATTGTTGGAGATATGTTTAAAAAATATTCTCATTTTTACTTATTAATTTGTCTGACATTTGTAGTCAGTATCCAGATTGTAACTGGTGAAGATCTAATAATTTCCATTTTAGTGTTACACATTTTTGGCAATAGTTAATAAGATTTTGGTGACCTTAACAACATAGTAAGGGTTTAAATTTGTGAAGTTACTCAGAAGGCAAAAATATCTCAAACATTATTACAAAAACTATGTATTATGTGGCAAGAATAAGTTAAATGTAGGAAAATGCACTCCTATAAGAGACTTTAATTAAATGTGTGTCATTTAGATGGAATGATGCAAGCCTGACGCAGAAGTGTGTGTATATATATATATATATTATATAAAATAAGATAAGATGTACCTTTATTGATCCCCCTTAGGAGAAATTCAAATTGAACACAGCAGCATAGGGGAAAGTAGTGCAAAGATAACAGTGTAAAAGTACAATAATGATAAAAAATTTTTTAAAAAAAGAATATTACAAACTATTATAGAAAATATAAAACTATAAAGAATAAAAATAATCTAAGCAGCAAAATATATTTATAACATAAATATAAATATATGGACATCCTTCACAAAAATTACTTTCACTTTAAAGACTTCTTAAAAGGCGCTTATTAATTAATCCACGTTAACGGTAAACTACATTACCCAGCAGCCCTTGCCACAACAACACAACCACGGGTCGCTTCCATCCAATCAGAGCGAGGCCATGATGTCCTCCTTACTGACGTGTCGCATTCGCTTATTACTGAGGGAGAAAACACGGAGGGCTGTTTTCTCTTTTTTCTTTTTCATGCCACTTCTCGAACCGCAGACGGAACCATGTCCGAGCCCAGCAAGCAGGATATCTCTGCTATCTTTAAGCGTCTTCGCTCCATCCCTTCGAATAAGGTGAGGGGGGGGGTTTTTTTATATTTTAAAATCCTATTCTGTGTTGTTGTTTTTTTTAACGAGGAAGTTAGCTGAACTAAAATACCTGACACGTCGCACTTTGAGGAAAAAAAAAAAAAAAACAGCTAATGTTAATTTAACAATTAACCGATAACGTGTCATGTTCAATATCGCTCTTCTTTTTTTTTTTTTTAAAGCTTCAATTGTGCTCCTGGTAACATTTGCGATAATTTATATAGAAGAAAATGTGTGAATGTAACCGAGACAGCCCAGCTACGTTAGCTTATATTTGACAGCTGACATTAGCCGTGTTTGTTTATGCTCGTAGTTTCGCGGCCCATCGGAGAATATACATTAATGTTTACATCCTGAATAATACCTACAAAGGACGTGTGCTCTACCTGTAAGAGTTAATTTATTGCAACAGCTGTTAGTGTTCCAGTCAACGTGCACTTCAGACCCTTGCACAGTTTTTAATCATACACGCTTCCACGTCTCCTTTTTATTGAGCTTGAACTTATGATCTTCAGCTTCAGACCTTCCCTGTTTCTTTAAGATGTCATTTTCCCCTTTTTTGTTTATATTTTCTAATATATTTAAGCATTTCCTGTGCTCTCTCTCTCTCTCTCTCTCTCCATCTCTCCATCCTCAGGTTTGCTTTGACTGCTCAGTTAAAAACCCCAGTTGGGCCAGCATCACTTATGGTGTATTCCTATGTATAGATTGCTCTGGGACACACAGGTCTCTTGGGGTGCACCTGTCTTTCATCAGGTAAGGAATTGTTTACATGGCACTTTTCAAAACAAAAGTTACAAGGTGCTTCACAATAAAAGCATTTAGCAGGAGATAGTAACACAGTTATAGTTTAAAAAGACAAAATAGTATCTGCAAATATAAGGGACTCTTTCTCTCATTTTTTTTTCCAAAAGTGAGAGTTAAATTATTCTAGATTACAGTATAGTGACAATAAGTCAGAAATTCACTTGCGTGTAGATGCTGATAAATTGTACCTACACTTTTATTTTGAATCCCAAACACCTTTGGCAGCCAATGGAAAGAGGCCAGCACTCCAGTAACGTGATCTCTGTGCTTTGTCAGATGGCAGGAAGAGATTTATTTTGGAACCGGAGATGCGATTTGTACCCGCCAAACCATTTTGTGACATAAAAGCTCAAAGTTTGTTTAAAATCCTGACATTATTGTGTTACACAGGTCCACCGAGCTGGATTTTAATTGGTCGTGGTATCAGCTGAGATGTATGCAAGTGGGAGGCAATGCCAGCGCGGTCAGTACCTGACGGCAGAATAATAGCAACAGATTGAAATCCGAGCATTGTGTAACACACGTTAACATGACTCTTCCTCTCTGCTTTCCTCTATCTGTTCTGATATTCCCACGGCAGGTTGCATTTTTCAGTCAATATGGGTGCACAACCAGTGCTGCCAATGCCAAGTACAACAGTCGAGCTGCTCAGTTGTACAGGGAGAAGATAAAGACTTTAGCCACGCAAGCCACCAGAAGCCATGGCACTGAGGTAATGCAGATATGTTTCTACCTACATTTGTAGGTTGCTCCACAGAGTAAAAAAAACAAACAAAAGAACTAATAAAGAACATTGGCTTCCTGCGTAGTACCTCTTTCGTTATCACACTTTGCATAAAATATAGCTATATATGTCACTTTTTACCACTCTTCTTCTGTACAGTTGTGGCTCGACAGTCAGGCTCCTCTCTCCCCAACGTCCCCCGACGACAAGCAGGTGGATTTCTTCAGTCTGCATACACAGGTGAAGGAGTGTGCTTTGCTTAGGTGGGATTGTATCCCCTATATCTGCTTGTTGGATACCTACACAGCGACAGGGGGGTTAGTCATTTCACAGTGTGGCTCTCTTTTAATGTACAGGCTCTTCCTGAAAATATGAAAATGGACAAAATGAGTCTCAGCTCTTTCCCACCAGAGAAGACTTCAACTGTGGAAACAGAGGAGGACAAAAATGGTATATGAAGTCTCTAAAATAAAAACTAGTTGTATTTATCTCCACCATTTATGTGGCTCATACCATGTACATTAAACCTTTTCAGGTAATCTAGATGAGGGTCCTAGTGTGGAGATGCTGAGCGTTTCTCCTAAAGCGAATCCAGGTTGGTTTATATTCCTCATGTTTAGGATGAGAAGACCTTGAACTGTAGGTGATGTAACTTTACTGTCCTTCTCTCCAGAGCTTTCCTCTCTTTTTAAGAAGAAGCCAGCTGCTGCCAAGAAAACAGTACGTACTCATTGCAGCAGAAAGCATTATCATGTATGTTTGCAGGCTGTGGATTCATAATGTGTTTTCAAAAAAACGTGTTTGCTTCTAGCTGGGCGCTAAGAAAGGCGGTCTGGGTGCTCAGAAGGTTAGCAGTAAGAGTTTCTCAGAGCTGGAGAAGAAGGCTCAAGCTGCCGACAAGCTCAGAGAGAAAGACGATGGCACGACTGCTGGAAAGAAGAATACTCAACACGAGGAATCCATGTTCGTGTCTTGACTTTTATTAAGTTGTTTCTCCAATTTTTTGTGGTCAATAAATGTATTTTTTGTGTTTCTGTTAGCTGTGGTTCTCTCTCTCTCTCTCTCTCTCTCTCTTTATAATCTCACCTGCCTTCTTCCCTCTCAGCGCTCCATCCCTGCGACTGGCCTGTAAAGATCTTGAGCAGCATAGGAAAATGGATGAGCAGAAAATGAAGGGATTAGAGGGGAATAAGAAAGAGCAAGCTGAGAGACTGGGCATGGGTCTAGGCTTCAGGAGGTACGCAGATCAAGAGACAAACACTTTTGATCCTGGATCCTGAGCCGATTGAAGAATTAGTTCTAATTTACTGCTCCATTTTCTGCTTCTCTCTCTAGTGGAGTGTCTCACTCTGTGACATCGGACATGCACATGATCCAGCAGGAGAATCCACGTGGGACCAAGACCACCAAAGGACGGCGGTTCACTGAGGACGACGACGATGAGGTGTCCTTCGGCTCTAGGTCAGATAATCATTATTTTTAAGTTCTGTTACAGGTATTATTAATAATATTATTATTGGTATGTTAACTTGTGCACAAAGAAAAAGCGAGTTATTTAATGTTGTTTATGTTGCATACATGTATTCATTTGTGAATATATTGTGAGTTAATGTCAGTATTTTTACACTGCTTTGGCAGTACTGTGTTATAATTCAATTTGAACTAGTGAATTGAAAAACATTAAAGCTTTTAAAGGCATTTCTTCACCTGACATTATTCTGAATTACTCCTTTCTGTAGGAACTCGTCCCGGTTTGAGGATCAAATAGAAACCTCCGATATTTTCTCCTCTCGGTGGGACGATAAAGGTGACGGAGGGGGCTGGATGAAGGAGAGCAAGAAGCCAGAGCCAGACTTCTACTTGACCTCCAATATATCATCACTGGATGACAGGTAGCAGCATATTATGTGTTTTAATGTAATGTACATCCTGTAACTCATGACTTTTAAAAACTTACTGTTGTTGCTTGATAGAGAAGGAATTTAACCCTTTTTTAACTTCTAGTTATCATTTATCAAGTTTCAGTGTATTTGTATTGTGATCATGTGATTGGAGCTCAGTTTATCTTACGTTTTCTTTCAAATTTCTGTAGTTTAATGATTTCAAACTCAATTAAGTTTGGTTTTACACATGGAAAGAGTTTATATTATGTGCTTAGGTGTTAGAATGTAAGATGATAGAAAAAAACTTAAATGTCAGGTTTGCTTTCTAATTATGGCTAAACTAAAGTCTTAATGATAACGAAAAATGTTTTATTATATCACAATTATTTTCACTTGTAATCATTGTCTGCAATCAGGCCCACATCCAGAAGAAAACCAGAACCAGTCTCAGACACGGGAGAAGCTCGGGTAAAGTTTGGAGACGTGAAAGCAATCTCTTCTGACATGTACTTTGGAAAACAGGACAACTCTGAGGTACACAATGACGACACGCAGGCCCACATGTTGTGTAAACTGTATATATTGTGTTGTACATGATCAGAGTTGACTTCCACACTGTGTGGTTATTATTGTAGATTGTCAGTATAGCTTTTCACATGCATATAAGTTACAGTACACATATCTAATCATGTGTTATGAAACCAGTGCTAGTAGTGATTGTAGAGAACTATAGTTTCATTTAAACTTCAAAACAGGTACTTTAGACTGTTTGTAGTTGTTGATATTCAACCTGGATTTTATTTCCCCATGTTTTTTATTTTTCTCTGCACGCTCTTGTTGTCAGACACTTATAATAACAATCTGAGCCAGTCAGTGGTAAACACAAGAGCTTTTAATGGACAGATTTTGAAGATGCACAATTGCCCATTAGGATTATGTTGTAGACCGCTTTGTGGCTGCAGGCTGAAACGTTTCACTCAATACTGGACTAAATTCAAAACTCTCTATCAATCACTTTGACACAGAAACATGGGGAAATACGGTCTAGGTTGAAAATAACCAAAGTTAGTCTTTAACTTTTGGACTTGAACTGAAACAAACAAGTGTAAATCCTACCTTAACCTCAACGTCCATGACCGGGTGTCTGAAGGGTTTGCAAGGATTATTAGACCTGATTGATCCAAAATGTGGTTGACCTGAACAGACCCTAACAGAGGCTGAACACTAGCACTGCAGCAGCATGAGGCACTATCTAATTAAAAATGGGTTCAAAAGAGCAGCAATGTAATAATAATGACCTAATAAATATAAAGTCATAAAAAGTAATTCCAAAATTCTTTTTATATGCAAGATTAATTATAGAAAGACTGGAAAGTCCTGTTTACACCTCCTGCACCAACAAACATTTTGAAGCCGACTGAGTGATATTTTCTAACCTATTTCAAAAAAACTGTGCATCCAAATCAATTTCCAAAAACAATTTCTCCCACAGTGATTATGATGTACCCTCTAATCAGTTTAAATCAGTTTGAAATATGGCTGTATGTCTGGTTTTTTTTTTTAGTATGAGGCCAGAACACAACTGGAAAGATTTGCTGGGAGCGCTTCCATAAGTTCAGCAGACCTTTTTGATGATCCAAAGAAACAGACTGGTAAGAGACAACAGCACCATCGTTTCCCTTACAAAAACAATTCCATGTATAATTTGCTTACCAGATAAATTTGTCATTTGACATTACAGCAGTTCTGTCTGTGACAGAAATAATGAAACAGTAATTGGACATGAAGTCGGACACTAAATAAAACTCAATAAGATCATGACTTAGATGGGACAGGAGAATATAAGCCTGTACTGTGTCTCATGTCGGGTTCCTGCCAACGACTACTATTGAAATGTAGTTTCACATTGCACACGTACAGTTTAGTTATAGGCTGCTTAAAATATTCTGCACACCATACTGCATATAGTGTATATCTTTTTCATTATAGTCTTACATTTTCTATTATATATTTATAATATTTTCTTATCTTAATGCATAAATTGCCAAAATGTGCCACTAAATTCTTAAAAATAAACCAAAACGTTGAACCTCTCAGTAAATTTCCAAGCCATGATGATAATGATATTGTGAACCGAGTATTCATTTATGGATTTCAACTTTTTATTATTATTTTAGTTGAATTCCATCACATTTAAACTCCAATTTTAGGCATTATACTAGTTTTTAGGTGTTAGAAGCAGAGTACAGTGACTTATCGCCCAAAGAGAAAATTCTAAATACAACAAATTCTCTCAAATCACTCGTATGTGCCACCTAATAACAAATATGTTTGTTGAAGCTTGTTGTTCTCTGTCTGTCTGCCTGACTCTGTTTGTCTTATGCACACAGCGAGTTCGTACCGTCTGTCCAACGTGCTACCTAGTGCTCCCGACATGTCACAGCTCAAACTGGGAGTGCGCTCAGTCGCAGGGAAGCTCTCCGTCATGGCCAGCGGCGTAGTTAGCTCAATCCAGGTCGGTCTGCACTTGAATTAAGATCATATAAATGTCTTGTCTGATAAATATAACGTTCTAATAATGTATTTGTTTTTTTCTAGGATCACTACAGTTCCTGAATCACGGTGCGTTTTTTCTCGGATTCAGCGGCCTTATAGTCGTCCTCTGTTTAACGGAGTCAGATAAGTTTCCCAGTGAGCGGAGGTCACTCATCTGGGGTGTGAAAAAAGGAGAAAGATTGATCCGTGCTCTGTGACAGCATCAAAATTTACCCCCAAATAACCCTGTGTACATCTATATCTAGTTTTTTATTAGATACTGTATATACAGCAGTCGTTAGAAATCAAGGTGACCGAAGCACAATATTTCCAGTGGAATCATGTTCCCCTGCAGGCATCTTGAAGGGAGATCTACGTCTATAATTCAGTAATGAAGGTTTAGTTTGCAGTTTATTATTTTTATTGCTTTGCAATCTTGGGGTTTAAATATTTTGAAGGTTTATGCTGTTTTTGAAGGAGGGGTTTGCTTTTTGATTCCTTTAGTTGATGAGGTAAAAAAATAAATAAATGTAAGCAGTGGGGGTCAATTCAGTTTTTAATTGGTTAAAATACTTTCACTCATCATATGCACTTTGTAGTGTCATATTGTGCTTTTTTTTGCACATTCCCACAGGTTTAAAAGTGTCCTTTCTGTCCCCAAGTGCACTTATGTTTACTTTCCCACACATAGGACCAAAACCTGATAAAGAGGCCTTGGGGAACCAGATATATATTTCTTTATTGCGCTTATTATCTGTTATATAAATTGGAATAGGCCTCTTAAGCACATAAGCTTCAGTATCTTGAAAACAGTTGTTTTTCTCTTTTTTCTTTGGGTCTTGCATTTGTAGTCAAAAAATGACAAGATGGCATAAGAGCCTAAGCAGTTATTTCAAAGCAGGTTCAAAGGACACATTCGATCGACAGGGCAAAACAGCTAGCCTAAACAAACAGACAAGACAAAAGACAGAAGAGTAAAAACTTTGGCTTTTTGTATGAATTGTGTGGACAGAGCCAGGCTAGCTGTTTCCCCCTGTTTCCAGTCTTTATGCTAAGCTAAGCTTATCGCCTGCTGGCTGTGACTCCATATTTAACAGACAGATGTGAGAGTGGAGATCTGTCTTCTCATCTAAGCCTATTCCTTTACAAAAGAAGAACAGCAATCAACTTACTGGCACTAGAATGACCCTGCTTGATGTAGGCCAGTTGCACTATGTGTTATATTCCTTTTCCTCAGTCCAGTTGTTTGGACTTTTAACACATTGTAATCAAGAATATGGTCGACGGTGTAGATTTATTGAATTCAAAGGTTCCTTTCTGATGATGATTTGGTTTGAATTTTGTAGCAGCTTTTTTTTTTTTTTTGGTTGGAGTTTGTGTTTAATATTATGTGTTGACTTTCTGCGTCGCCCCCTTTGGTATTTAATTTAAAGTACCCCATTTCAGATTAGGATTTGATGATGCGGTGGGACCTCTTTGTAGCTTTCAGGCCCCACTGTACAGCAACACGTCCACTTAAAATACGAATGCAAACAACCCCTTTAAAGCCTTCACTGCTGTTTTTTTTGTTGTTGTTGTTGTTGCTGTACCATACTGCCAAGGTCCAGGTCTTTAATTGTGACAAATATGACCGAGCTAGGGGGAACAGGTAGCACTACAGGTGGTGCTATTGTGCGGTTTGACATTTAAAAGCAATACAAAAAGCAGCTTGATATCCGTTCATGGCTCATGGTTTGGGATGACTACAGTATGGCCTGTGCTTTAGCTTTTAGATAAAGTTTTGCCATGATGCTTCAGATATCTGTATATCTATATTGTGTGGAGTTAAGGGACTGATCAGGAACAGAATGGTTATATTACTGAGCAATGTCTGTACTGTTTATGCCTCTCAGGAGTTGTTAAATATGAAACACTAAAAGAGAGCAAAGTGAGAGTTGTAGATCCTTCAGTGACCAAATATTTGTTTACTCCATCACTCTATGCCTTAGTCCAAAGATCTCATTAACTCGCCCTCATATTGTAATATTGTGGAGTCATCTAGTTACCCTTTTTTTTTTGCACATAATTTGTTAGAAATTGCGCGTGGCAGCTTTTTGCTTGAATGTACTGTATTGCAATTGAACCTTTTGCCTCTTTAAGGTGACGATGCGTCCATGTTAGACTGTTTTTTGTTTTTTTTTGTTGATCTTTGTAAGATTGTTTGTGTCTTCTGCTGTTGAATATTGTTAATTCTTACATGAAAGAGCTGTAGCTTGGGTGTAAGTTGCATGGCCCTTGTAGTTAGTTGACACATCATGAACCCAAGATGGCTGGAAAGCAACCGTTAAATAATAATGGAATATACAGTATACACAATAAAATGTTGTATAGGGCTTTGAATTACCATTTATAGAACCCTACTGATAATCAAGTTTTGACATATTTTCTCAAAATGTAAGAAAGATTTTTGAAAACATGCCAAATAAATGGCTTGTGCTGCACAGAAATGTGTTTTTGATTGATTGATTTTGTTTGTAAGAAAAAAAGTGTCCATCGCAGTTTCACAGAGTCCAAGTTGATGTCTTCAAATGTACTGTCTTTAACTTAAATATATTCAATTTACATTGTTGTAGAACAGAAAAGCAGCGAACCCTCACACTTGAGAAGCTGAAATCAGGAGATGTGTGATATGTTTTGTTTAATAAATGGCTTTAAAAATAAATTAATTATAAGAATTGTTGCTGATTAATTTAATGTCTATCAAATAATCAATTAATAGATTATTAATTGTTTCAACTGTACTGGAAAGACATCATTAATCCATGTTTAGCCACCTTCAGGACAAACTGCAGCTGGCAGCCGCTTACGTGGCTGGGTGAGGCGTTGACGGTGCTTCCGGCGCTGTCGGAATTAGGAGCGTTAACATTGGAGCTAACGATCAAACAAATTGGTAAACGCGAATAAAATAGATCATTATTTGAATGTCAAACCATTACGCCACTTGAGACATAAGATAAAATATTCATCCAACAGTTTGTTATGTCACTGTTTTGGTGTTTTTAACTGTTCAGCTGTAAGTGTTCGTGTTTACGAGGAGCACATGAAGGCGTCATTTTTCCAAGGAACTGGGTAAAGCAAAAGGATCGGCATAGCGGTATAAAACGCAAAGCCTAGCCTTTAATTATACTTTTTTATGTTACTTTAGTGTCCTACATTATGTATTTATCTGTGAAAGACGTGTTTTATTTTACTCTGCAACTCAACGAATAGCTAGTTGGACTTTTTGTTGCTGTTAGGCCTGTTGAATTCCTTCACAGTAAAAAAGCGAACCAGTTTGCTTAAAAAAAAAAAAAATGCCTACTGAATTAAAGCAGAGGAAGAAGGCACAAAAACAAAGTGATGAGAGTGAAACGTCGGCTGCTAATGGGAAAGATGAAGCTCAAAAAGTGAAGACAGAAGCTGGAAACAACGCAGGAGCGAATAAAACGTCTCCGAGTTTGGACATTAAAAGTATTCTGTGTTTATTATCGCTGGCAGCATGCGGGGCTCTGAGCTGGTAAGTTCAACCTGATATATTTACATTTTATTAAAGAGTTGTCTGTCTAATGGTTCCTCACTTAAAGAGTCTATGTGTTTCTGGGTTTCAGGATGGTGCTGCAGCAGAATGAGAGGTTTTCCCAAATTGAAGAAAAGTACAAGTTTTTACACGGAAGGACTTCAAGTCTGTTCGACATGGAGGAAGAAGTCTTAAAGGTTTCTAAAAAGGTACGTTTGGTTTATAGTGGGACAGCTGCCGTCAGTGATGGGAGTTTAAAGGGTAAATTCACCCAAATTACAGAAGGTTAAATAAACTGCTGTGTTATTTGTTAGTTAGTTGTTAACAGTCACACATTTAGTTCTTAGAGACCTAAGCAAGTCAAATCCAAACCATCTGTGTAGTTAAATACCATTTAAGGAGGTAAACGATAAAATAAATGAGTTTTATTTGTGTAATTTGGATGAAATGATGCTTTAAGTTTGTGGGATAATGTAATAATTCTTTGCTTGTTTTTATTTTTAGCTCTAAAGTTGGAATAACAAGTAGATTTAATAGTATTTTAGTAGTATTTTTATTGGATTTAGTGAAGAAGATATGTGGTAACCAGCCTGTAAACTGTATTTTTGCTGTTTTTTCTTATATCTTTGCTTTTCTTGTGAAATTCTGTGTAGTTTGACCTTTTCACCCCCCCCATACAAACATTAAATGGAACAACCTGGGAAGGAAAAACTCCTCTCACAGCTCTTAAACATATGCAGCATGCAGACTTTATTGCTTTATTGTAAGGGGTCTTTTACTGTAATGACCTGCTGTCTAACATTATATAAAACCCTCAGCATGCTACATTTTATTTGTTCTTTGAAATCTTAAGAAACAATTTTCAACCGAGCATAAATAAATCTCTACTTTTCACATTTATGAGCACAAAACATGACTTTCTCTCTTCTGTAGTTCACTCATATTGTGTACAATGCTTCCTGTATGCATGCACTTTGTGTCTGTTATATATGAATACTGAGGACCGTAGAGCTCCCACAGAAACAGCCCTCCTGTTTTGTGTTGCGGCTGCAGCTTGCCGCCTCTGAGGATGACCTACAGGATGTGCTCTCCACCATCTCCTTGGCAACACGACTGCAGCAGGACATCTCCACCCTCCACGCCGCTGTCATGGAGATGCAGGCCGACGAGAACTCCGCCTCCCGTGACCTGCAGACGGTCAACGCCCACTTCCTCAATGTGACAGAGACGTGGCAGGAGCGACTGGCCGCCATCACCTCTGACCTCACTGCCCTCAAGGCCGAGTCACGGGAAGCTCACACCGGAGCCACGGAGCGGGTGAACGAGGCCGAGCGGAGGGCCCGGGCGCTGACGGAGAGGTTGGAGGAGCTCGAGGACAGCACGAAGAGGAACGCCCGAGCCATGGAGCGTGCAGAGGAAGACGACGCCAAACGAGCGCAGGGTCAGCTGGACTGGAACACAAAGCAGATCCACTACCTGGAGGAGCAGATGAGCAGCCTGAGCAAGAGCAAGGCTGAGCTCAGCACTCAGCTCCGGGAGCACATTCCCCGGGCGCAGGAGTGCGAAAAGCATTTGCCCCAGGTAGAGGAGGCGGTGCGCTCCATCCTGAAGCTCGGGGGTGATCTGAGCGGGGCAGAGAAACGGCTGGAAGAGGTGACCTTACAGGTGTTTGGCACCGAGGACAGCATGCTGAAAGCACTGAATGAAATCCTTGACATGAGACAGGAGCTGGACAACCTGCAGGCTCAAAACAGCATCCTCAAGATGAAGAACGAGTTGTCGGTGGTTAAAGAGGCGGTCCGTGAACTCACCATGGTGCTGAGAGAAAACACGGTGGACAGTCTAAAGGTCTCCGACACTCTGGAGGACGAGGGATGGATATACGATGAGGAGGAGGAAGAGGAGGAGTGGGAAAAAGATGAGCAGGATGAGACAGCTCAACCTCTTTATGATGACTTCACTGAGTGAGGTCAATGTTTTGAGTGAACTAGAGAAAAGGAGTGGCGCTGTCTTACTATTTGCTGTAAAGGTTCAATACTATTATTTTTCAATATGTGTACCTCAGTTTAACGTCAGAACATTGTGACTATCGTTGCATAAAAGTTAGTTAGATACATGCACTGTGTTACACAAGTACAACCAAGAATGTATTTTAATGTTTGTTTCATGTGGAGTTTAAGGTTTAACATTTAAGTTTCTTTGTATCATTGTATATTTTTTATAAAACATTCCCCATGACTCCAGCCATTTGCACTGATACAGTTATATATCAATATCTAGCTGTATCAATGAACTTTCCAGATGTAACTACCTTAGAGCTGAAACAATCAGTCGATTAATCAAGGTGATTCTCAAAAGTACTTTTTCTATAAAAAAATACCAAAAATGTTCCAGTTCTGAATTCTGCACATTTGCTTTTTTCTTTCTTATTCAAGCTGAATATTTTATTGTATATTTAAAAGAAAGAAAGAAAGACAAGCACTTTGAATTCATCACCTTGTGCGTTAAGATAATAGGATTTCTTAGACAAATCAATGAAGAAAATTGCAGCCCAAAGCTACCAAAGCTGTCAGTGTTACTATATATTTTGAGCAGAAAGATGTGGATGGATAATAAATGTTAATGTTTTTGATGAGTGTTACATTTCACCTGTTGAAAGAATAACCATCCTTCTATCACTGAACTTATTTAATAAAGTCACCTTTTTTATAAGGTCTTATTTCTATAAATTAGCCTTGTTCTCGTATTTAATCCTATTGTGTGCTTAAAGGTAAATAACCTGAAACAATGTCTTTCAATGAATAACTGCTTCTGAGCACACATAAACATATAGCGGTTGTCTCTATCAATCCATGTACTGTATGTCCCTTTTCAGTGCGAGAGCGTCCAGCCGATGCTGGAGAGTCTCGGGGGTCAGCGGGGGGCTCTGCAGCCCCAGCTGGAGGGTTTTGAGCAGGACGTGAGCCAGCTGAAGGAGTGGGCCTCTGGGCTGACTGAGAAACGAGTTCAGCTTCAGAGCAGCCTGACCGCACTGAGAGGCGCCGTGGGGCAGATTGAAGAGCGCACCTCAGCCATCACAAAAGACTTTTCCAACAAGGTATGTCATATTGTTTTTGTTTTGTCAATAGGAACTATTTTACTGTTTCTAGTGAGAAGGTGTAGGGTTTTTTCCTATGGCAGTGCCACCTGTGAGTCCAGATGCAGGGAACAATATTCAACCACAGGCACAAAGGGCTGCAACTAGTGTTATTTCCATTACTGATTCATCTTTCTTTGAGCCACAAGGTGGCCTCTTTAAATGTCTTATTTTGTGCTACCAGGAGTCCAAAATATTAAGGTATTTAGTTGCTATCACATACGACACAGAAAAACTTAAAATCCTCATATTTGAGATGCTACAACCAACAAATGTGTCATTTCTGCTTAACAAATTGCCTCTCATCCTCTGTTCTTCTGTATTCCCCCTGTAGGTGGCATCAGTGAGGACAGACGTGCGCAGGATGGGCGGCCTGCAGTCTGAGCTGGAGTCTCTGCTGACTCAGGTGGGGGAGCTGGAGGACAAGACCACTCAGGTCGAGCACAGCATGGTCAAACGCATCGCGGACGTGCTGGCCAACAGCATTGACCGAGTGACAAACCTCCGTGCTGCGTCCGAACGCAACAGTCAGGCCATAGAGAAGCTCCGCAGACGCATCCCTGAACTCACCACCGCTGACAAACAGATCTTTGAGCGCTTGAGGGAGCTGGAGAGCGGTAGAGCTCGTCTGATAAGAACAGTGACCTTCGCTGGTGACCTTAAACCAAAAGTCGCTGCCATTAAGAGGGACTTTAGTGCCTTTGAGCCTCAGCTGTCAGACCTGATTGTGCGGATAGGAAGACTGGCAGAGGATCTTACAAAGAGAGAGCAGGAGATTGCTGAGCTTAGACAGACATTGGCTAACCTCACCGCAGTAGAGGGAGATTTAAGTGTTACGACTAAACAAGTTAGTGAAATAGCTGATATATCTGATATTGGAGACGTGCACAGACCAACATGAGCAGACACGCTTCAACAACCCTCAGACGAGTGGAGCTCAAGGTTTTATCTTTTGGCTTGCATCTGGTCAACTGTCATACTACTGCTTGAAATAAACCTTTTTACAAACAAATGAAATAAAACTTTGTTAACCAAACTCTGAAAGTCTGAAACAGCCTCAAAGCACAAACTTGGTAACCCTCAAGAAGTGTAAAGAATGTAAACAACCTGACAGCTGGTTTGTCAGCATTTCTAAAAGCTGCATGACAATGATTGTTTCCTTTTGTTACCTTGCTGAGATTTAACTGGTTTATTGATTTGCTATCATGAACTGATTTCGATGCCACATTTTGATCTGATTCCACATACAGTTACTTTATTATCTTGGGTTTTTATTTGATTTTTTCATGTGTGGTGTTTTTAAAAGGGTGTGGAAAAGTGGAGGAGATGTAGACAAATGTAATATTTCTGCATTAATATGGTCATTTTTGGTATGAAACATTGGCTGAAGGGAATAGTTTAAGAAATAAATATATAATTTCTCTCTCGCAGAGCGTTACAGACGCCACTTTAATGCGTTTATGACAAATTTGAAGCTGCAGCCAGAAGACTGGAAAAAGGGGGTAACAGCTACTGCAGTTACTTGGTTATAGCTTACACATAGTCTCCCATGTCTTTGATTTAAAAACAAATTTGTTTTAGAGGAAAATCTTACAGCTAGGTCACAGAAAACATGACATCCAACTCCACATCATTTTTAGGCATCACATCAAGTCCCAAGTTTGGGTACATGTAAATCAGCTTTTTGCTTTTTAAGCATATACATGATGTTACACCTTTACCTCACTGGTTAAGGTGAGACTTGAAATTCCAGTTAGTTTTCAAAACTATGTTATAAGAGTATTTCCTTGAAGTGTACTTGTGAAGAGGCCTCACAACTGCAGCGTCTGGCGTTCAACAAAGAAGCACATTTCCGCAGAACACCTGGAAAAGAGTCAAACCTGAATATCCAAAGAGAAATTACATGTTGCTGTCACTGCTGTGTGCAGATTAAAGAGCTCAGCATGTGGTATTTAGTCTTTAGGAGAAAAAGGTTTTACATGTATGTCTTGACACAATATAATTTTGTGCTGCTTAATGAGTTGAACTTTACGTGAGAGGTGTATTCAGTAAATTCAGAATTGTCTGATATTCTTGAGGAAAAATATGAATTATGCAATTGAAATTTTGGTGATTTTAGCAGCCCTTTGGGTATATCACGCCTACCAATGAGTGTAAGATTTCAAACCCACCCATAAAATCAATGTATAACCCATGATGTAACAGTAAAGGCAGCTAAAGAAAAAGCAATAAATCATAACTTCACACAAAGAAATAACTATTCACAGCTTTAGGTCAAGAGTTTTTATTCTTGTAAAAAAAAAAACAACATGAGTAAACAAATGAGTGCTCAAAAAGAGCTTATTATTGCATTTTGTTGGTTTTCAAAAAAACAGCATTTAAAAATCTAACAAAAAAATAGAAAAAAAAACCTACAGTGCAGAAAGAGTTTGGATTTGAATTCACAGATCAGCAGTCCACCTCTGCCCCCTCTCTCCTGACCAGTTTTCCTCACATTGGCTACTTATCTACTAAAATGTGCAACATTGTGACATAAACCATCAAGTTTGGGAAACAATTCTTCATGAAAACAGGAAAGGAGTGTTATGGTCACCCACTGGGAATCATTATTGTCCATGTTTTGGTCTCCTGATGTCAAATTGCTAACTCAAAATCCCTAATTTTCCTCGTCGTCACTGGCTTTGGATAAGCCCTCCAGTGTCCGTGTGGTCTCCTGCAGAGCTTCCTGAAGAGTAGCAATCGCCTGATCGTGGCCTTCCAGCTTGGCTGCTTTGGCTTGCAGGCCATCTAGCATGCTTCTTAAGGTCTCCAGCTGCTCTGGCTTCACGCTGTCACTGCCCTCCACAGCGGTGAGCCTCTCCTCCAAGCCATTCACCTGCTGACCCAGGCTGGAGTCTGTTGAAGTTAGCTGGGTCTGGGCATCACTCAGAGCAGCTATGTTGGACTGGAGTTCCCCCAAACTGCTTTTCAGTGCCTCCATCTCCTCCGCCAAGCCAGTTCTGACTTTCTCCACAGCCTGCCCCTGTGCGACTAGAGTGCTTTCATGGGTGTCGTATTTGGTGAGTAGTGACTCCACTTTGGTGGTGATGTCTGATACTGATGCCGACAGCAAATCTCCACTCTCCTCTGAGGCTTTAACTCTTGCTTCCAGTTCTTCTGATTTCTTGACCTGAGCAGCTGCTTCAATCACCTGCTTTTCCACATTACGAACAGCATCAACCGCCTCCTCCACGTCGCTCTCCAGTGTCACACTTTTGTCTGTCAGAGCCTGGACGCTGGTCTCTGTTGCAGACAGTGACTGCCTCAGACTCCCGACAGTCTCTTGCACTACTGATCTCACTGTTTCAATTTCCTGAGAGAGTGATGCCACTTCCTGGTTACGAGTCTGGAGCTCTGACCTCACGGCACTGATATGCCCCATGAGTGACTCGGCTGAGGAATCAGCAGCCAGTTTGGCTGTTTTGATTTCAGCTACAGTATCAACAATGGCAGAGAGCTCCTGTTTGATGAGCGCAGGGTCTTCAATGTCACCCAGGCGGGCCTTGAGATCAGCCAGCTGGCTCTGCGACTCGCCCTGGGCTTCGGTGAACTCCGCCACGCTGGCTTTGATGGACTGACTCACCTCAGCCAGACGCTCCTCTACAGTCTTCTCCAGAGAAGAGAAGTCCCTCTCTCGGGCTTCCTTCACCTCTTTGATGCCCTCTGAAAGGTCCCTGAGTAGATCGTTCTGGAGCTTCTGAAGGGCCTCCTCCACCCTCCTCGTCTCCACCTCGCCCCTCTTCATCCGGCTGATGGCCCCCTCCAGCTCTACCCGTGTGATGCCCAGTGAAGACTCTAGGCCGTCCACAACACTCCTCAGAGACTCCACCTAGGCAACAAGGAACACATTTAACATCAGAGGGCATTTTCATCCATTTTAACACAATATGATTGAACACATGTACACTGTAATGCACACCAATACAATGACAGCTGTGAAAACCATGTATCTCCAAAGTTTTATTGATACAAATACCATTATCGATTCTGTTTATTGGTCCGATTCTTTGTCAATTTGGTGGCACACGATTGTAGGAGGAGCTAAGAAACACAGCCCTGTTTTCAGCTTTGAGGCAGATGATAAAGTGGGTTTTTACATATATATTTTAAATTAGATAGAAGGAAAATTTCATTGTTTATCTTAAATGTTTAAAAATGACCCAATATGGAGATACATTGTTTTCACTAGACAGTTCCAGTTCAACAATTCTGAACAATTGTTTTCTTTTAGATTAGTGTGACAAAAGAACCTGAACTCAACGTCAACTTACTCACTTTTTCTGTATTTAAAAAGCGAACTAATGCAGTGAAAAATAGAGAAATATGGCTTTATTGAAAGTAAATATGTAATAAACAATATTTAAACTCCTTAAAAGATTGCACAGGTAATATATAAATCATTGTCCCTCAGTATTGATAATATAAATACTATTTTAGAGGTGAGTTCCCACCCAAAGTACCACACACAGTATGCACCATTTGCATGAATAGAGTTATGTCACACAACTGAAGACTGGTTATACACGGTGTACTACACATTCAGGTAAAACCCAATACAGGTATGAGGAAAGAATAAATAAATGGCATTTATTAGCAGTTAATGTAAGTCTTTAATATTTGTGTTCCTTAGAAAGAGATTGATGATCAGATATGACCACTTATGTGTCAATTTAAACAAAGGCAGGGTGTTTGTTTTACTTGCTAGAGACAATGTGAGCTCATCCTTATCTGCTCTGTGCAGCTTAATCTGTTGTTCTCACACAAAAGAAAGCATTAAAAATAGAAAAATAATGCAGATATTATTCATTTTCACCACGTCTGAAAGTTTTATTTCTACTTATTAGGACTTTTGCTCAATGAAAAAGTAGAATAAGTTCACCAAATGCATCACTGTGGTTGACCATAACGTACCCAACCCCCAACAGAACATACAGTACAACAAATAGGCCCATTAGGTTATGTAATTGTACACAGAGGTATCTCCAACAAAAACAGTTAGGCTATATGCATCCCCTATGTATGGTTTGGATTTCACTGGAAGTTGTGAAAAAGTTTGGGAACTCCTGCTAGTGTAATTCACCCTTCTTCTTCCCCCCCATTGATACTTTCTTCCTACCTGTTGAACGACGCTCTCCATTTTCCTGCCCAGCTCTGCGTTTTGCTTTGCGCTCTCCTCATGCCTGGCGTTCGTCTGCTGGATTTCCTCCACCACTTGCTGCAGATAAAAAGCACCAAACCCTGCAGCGCCTAGTAACGCAATATAAAACACTGTAGTCGCAACAAGCCCGAGGCAGCTCCCTGACCGTGGCCCCTGAGGTCCCGGACCACTCACACCGTTACTGGAGCTCTTCGGGCTTTTCTTGGACGCATCCTCTTGGCTGGATGCGGCGCTCTTCTCAGTCGAGCTGTTCTTCTGTCGGTTTTTCGCAGTCATCCTCAGTGTGGGAGCTCGCTGAGATTATATGTGTGTGTGTATGTGTGATGTGAGAGGGAGGGAGTGCTGCTGGTTTTTGCAGTCGTGGATGGAGAGTGTCCCCAGTCCAGGCCCATGGACCAGCAGCGTATCAGTGAGCGCGTCGTGTCTTTCCACGGGGCTTTTTTTGCATTGAGGTATGCGGATGGGGGCTGTCCCATGTTCAACTCCAGGCTTTGTATGGGTCCAGTTTAATGACACAAAACAGCAGGAAATAATAAATGATTTCTACTACTCTTACACTTCGGTGATCGTGTTCTATTTTTACATCAGAAACCAGCCATTATATTTGTTTTAAAATCTCTGGGTATGTTTGCGCAGAAGCATCTCTCTGATGCAACAGCAGAGCAGTGATGTTTCCTTAAAAAGGTTTAGGGTTTTATGGTGGTTTATGCAACTTCTGTGAGTTTTCCAATGTCTCTTTCGAAATGAGCATCAGGTTTATTTATATTTTTAAGTAACTTAAAGTGGAGAAAATGAAAGGATGCACCACTTTTGGACAAAACGTTGAACCAAACGGTCCATAATTATCATCTAAATGTTAATCTGTGTGTTACCGACTTAGACAAACCTCTATTATACCTTTCTCGTTATATAATACACGCTCATAACTGCATGTTGTAATTTCTTAGACACTGATGCAAACTTTCTGCAAGCGGTTTATACCGGAGTCGAGCAGTTGTTGCAGGGAGGGGCTGTTTCTTCCCTCCAGCTCGCTCCTCCTTTCATACGTGGCATACTGCTGTTAAATCCCCTGGTTACATCTCTCCATAGAGACACTTCAACTGAACTCACAGTTTCCACACAAAAAAAAAGAAGTTCAGTTTTACTTCTTTAAAAAAAAAAATGTGAATCAATATTTGTTTACGGCCCTTAAATTGTAAATTAAATTAATTCATGCATTTTGTTTGTTTGTTTTCCTCTGTTAGATTATAATGGTCTCATTATTATATCACTATTTGTCATAATATTCAATAATGTTTCCGTGCCGCTTTTTAATGTCCTTATTGGTTTATTAAAAAAAAGGTTTATTAAAAAAAAAAGTTATTTGTCCACTTATTATGCTTAATTTTGCTATTTTGCCAAATTATAACACAGTAGGCTACCTACGAAAATCTACAAAAATAAAATACCCATGAATATAAATACTCTCTCTAACTTTGCATTTTAAACATAGGATGAAAGAAAAGGGAGCAAAGCTTGTTTACATCCTCGGTTTAAACGCTAGATGTCACTAAAAGAGAATTTATATAGTTTGAGCTAACAATAACCCCCTGAAGCCATCTCAAACAATGCAGCATAAACACATGTATGCAATATCAAACGATTATTCTTAAACCATAAATACATGTAAAACAACTGCAAATTATTTATATTAAATCATTGTAGTATCTTCTTGTAATAGGCAGATCATTACCAGGTTAATAGCAGAGTTAACATTGTAAACGACTTTGTGTTTAAGATCAACAAAGGAGACAGAAAAGCGAAAGTTAAACTTTATTTACAAGAAAAAAAAGCTTGTTTGCTCGAGTACAAACAGATGAATACAATTAAGTTGTGCAGTATTTCAGTATATCCAGGTATGAGTTTAGGAAAGATGTGAAGACTTTAAAGTTGGGTTTTTGTTTTGCACATTTTCTGGAGTGTAAATATATCTTTGCTAATAATAACATCTATTTCATCCACAGACATTTCATTTCACTAATGCAAACACCAATTTTTTTAATTAAAAAAGCCAAATTAAGTCAGTTTGTCAAGGTCATCACAAAAAGTTTGACTAAAGGTGCAGTTTTCAAAATAGGTAAGTTACAAATCCAGCCGTGTTGTGACAAAAAAAACAAAAACAATAACTCATTTTAACAATATCTTCCATACCTTAACGTGAAACTAAAACTTTTTCTGCGAGTAAACCAATATTAAAAACCAATTCCAGTATCTCCTCTCAAAAACACAAACACAAACATCTCCAGTGTTTCCGAGCTTCCCCTGAACGCACCCTGACGCTCCGCCCTGACGCCGTGACAACAGACGCCGTTCCTCCGACGTGCTGTCCAGGTGTTCGCTGTATGATATTGCAGCGACCTGCTCCTCCGGTTGTTTTTCTCTTTATATCGGTTTTAATCTGCCAAGAAAAATGGCCTCAAAGGCGATGTGCTTCGTCGCCGAGGCCGGTTGTCAGTCGGACGTCTGAAAATGTCCCCGCACTCATTATCTCTCTCTCTCTCGGTCTCTCGGAGGATGAAGCGGGAACAGTTAAAACATGAAGACTTGACACGGGGATGAGAATTTGAGCTGTGTGTTTATACCTCGAAGGGAGGAGAGGAGGAGGAGGAGGAGGAGGAGGAAGAAGAAGCTAGCGGGTAAGCTAGAAAGCTAGCCAGCTACCCGGCCGGCTCGGATACCGGATTTGGTGCGGCCATGGCCGGACTCATCAAGAAACAGATCCTGAAGCATCTCTCCAGGTCGGTACCGGTCGGTGGTGGCGGGGTTAGCAGACATGGGAGTAGTTGTAGGAGGAGGAGGAGGAGGAGGAGGAGGAGGAGACGGTGGAGATATCCAACTGTCACGTTAGCTAGCTAGTCACTAATTTAAATGTTAGTTTAACGAGACGAAAAGTGTTTTTATTTTTTAGTGTTTTGGTGAATTGTCTGTCTGTCTGTCTGTCTGTCTGTCTGTCAGTGGCGTTTTCAGTTGACGTAACCCTCCTCACTGACCTGAGACGTGGCTAGTCGGCTAACTTGCTAACACGGGGAGGGAAGAGGAAGAGGAAGAGGAGGAGGAGGAGGAGGAGGAGGGGAGTTTAGCTCGCTAGTGAAGGGCTTATCCCTCCACTCTTTGGCTTTAACAGGTTGAACCAGTCTAGTGGTTGAGTCAGATTGTTTAACACCACAATCTCAGCCTTCCCCTAAAGGTAGTGTGTCATACAGTAGGTGGTTGCTAATAAACACACACATATATAAATATAAATATAAATCATTAAACTGAGATAACTTTAATTTGACATAGATATGTGGAGGCTTGCGCAAGGGGAGGGGGTATTTCAGCGGGGTGCAGGTTTGTTTACCCGGGTTTTAAACCCTGTTTATCCGGTCGTTTCACCACTGTGCCTCCCTGTCAGACACCACAGTCCACATGGACCCCTCAGCACACAACACGGCACATTAGAGAGGGAAATCAGCTTTATTTGACAGCATTATGTGTGCCTAGAGGTACATTAACATAATATTTGCTCAGGATCTGTGTAACAGCGCTACCACTTGCTTTGTAAAGCGGCATTTATTTCTTTTTATTGTCTTGTAGTTATGGGCAGCTCTCAGCTCGACCCGCTTTACATCCATTATTTATTATTTTCCACTGTCCCTCAAGGGACTTTCAATGGACTACTTCCTTGTTTTGTTCCAGGGGGAGATCTTGAAACATGCAGCACTGTTTTCCTCCCACAGACTAACCTGCTAATGACCTAAAACAGAGCACATTCACATTCAGAAGTGTATTGAATCCTAATGATGGTTGGACAGCGCTCACATGGGGTGTAAGAAATGACAGCTGTCACATTTATTATACAGAGCACAGATGACTAAGTCTTTTAAAAAAAAAAAGGCTCATCAGTATGCAGGTTGACCGGTTTGTGTTCTTGAAAAGGAGACGCTTAAAGGTGAGAAAAAGTCTTTGTGGTGGCTGAATTGTGATTAATTAGTCCCTCAGTGGTTAATACCTTTTTAATGGTGTTTAGGATTGCTCTGCTCGTACACAATGCCACAGCCAAGATCTGCATTGTCGGCAACACACAGCCCGTGAGTGGCATTGTCCTTCATTGTCCTAGTACTCTTAAGTGGTGACTCCTTGTGTGTGTGTGTGTGTGGTGTGTGTGTGTGTGTGTTTGTGTGTGTGTGTGTGTGTGGAGGCAAGATGTTTCTGCAGATGACTGTGCATGCCTTCAGCAGCATTAGTTTCAAGACTGACAGCAAACGACTTGTGATGTCATCTGTCTTTGGGCTTTGTCATCTGATCTTTCTAAGTCCCGTGCCCCGATTGGTCGGGCACTGAGCGGCGGAAGCTGACTGACGCCTCTGACCTGTCGGGGGCCAATCTCCCACGGTAAAAAGCGCTGGTGTCAGAATGCCAAATCAGCATCACCTTATGTATTTACTCCGCTGTGTAGACTATGGTTATTACGCGTGCTTGGGTGACTTAGCTCGAGGAGCGGCTTAGAGGTAGTCTGCTTCATCAGCTTCAGCCAGGAATAGTTTACACTGCTTGCTCGACTATTCATACACATTGTAGGTGTGCTTACACAGCTACAGGTTGTGTTGTGGGTGTCAACATGTCAGCTCAGCCTCTATGCTCAACGGTCGCAGCGGACACACACACGTCCGTACAATGCTGTCCGTGACCAGGACGAGCCTGTTAAAGTGAGGCAGCGCCACATCTTTACAGTTCATTGACTCAGAAGTCCGCAATGGCTGTTCCTCCCCTGGCCCAAGACAAGTGCACTGAGGCGTGCATGACATATTAAACTAGTTGAGAGGGCCTTTTTGTACAACTTGAACTGTTGGAAGAAGCATTGTGTGTGACATTTCATGTGCAAGGACGAGTTTGTTGATGTTAAGCGACACGGCTGAGTTGTTGGCGTGCATTTGTTCCGTGTTTTCCCTGATGTGAGAGCGTATTGATGAAGTGGTTTCGCAGAAAGTCGAACTCATGTGGCCCCTTGGGGTGACTAGCTGACAAGGTGTGTGTTTGTCTACATTACAGCCAGGTTTAGACTATCGACAGGACGCTGGCCCACAGCCAGACAGAGCGAGATCATGTTACACACACACACACACACAGACGCACACACATATATAGATGGATGTAGAAATACCTAAACCCAATAACACATGCTTGGTCCCATCCCATCTACTTTGTTTTCCCAGAAGAGGGAGTTTCTCTTGTTGTCCCAAGGCGATGAAAGTCCAGGTTCAGCTGCAGAGCAGGAACATTTAGCCGGTAGATATTCTCACACTGGGGCTTAAAAACAGGTGTTCCTGTTAAAGAATGAGAATCAAACTGTATGAATGGCAGTGAGATGGAGCTCCGTAGAGAAAAGGAGACTTGAAATGTCCTACTTTCTTCCCTCTTACCTCCTTTTCCTCAGTCCTTTCTTCCTCGCTTCCCTTCCATATTCCAGCTTTACATAATTGTTTTCCTCTACACTTCCTCTCCTCTGGTTCATTAGCCACTTACAGTTTGTTACACCCACTCTTTATATTCTTATTTTGACATTAAATTAAGGCATTTAGGGCTGCAACTAACTGTCGATTATGGTCTTGAATGATTGTTTAGTCTAGAGATGTCCCAATACCATTTTTCTCCTTTTCGATACTTAAACTTTGCGTATTGGCCGATACAGAGTATCAGTAGGTGCATTAAGAAATGTCAAAAAAATGGTTAAAGGCAATTTCACAGACCTCAGGTTGACCATTTTAGGTGTCTTGTTTTGATATAAAGCAGAGAAAAACAGTAAATCTTCGCATTTTATAAGCCGGATTTAGCAAATAATGAATTTACATTCATAGGCTTATCACAAATTTACTGCAAAATGGAAGTATCCCATATTGCAGGTCATTAGCAATTATCTCCTTCACGTCTGGAACCATCAGTCCTTCCTCCCTAAAAGCCCTCCAAAGTGATGTGCAAGAGTTTATTTGACAGAGTAAATGGCTGCTCATTAATGTCACAAGACCACAGTCCTGCAAATTGCAGACAACATTATCCACATACTCGGTCACAGGGGAATGTAGAAATTTGAGCGGAAGAAGGAGATTTCCTTGATGTGCATAAGTCGTAGCTGTTGATAGACAAACGTACACAGAACAGGGCCTCTAAGAATGAATGGATTATCACTAGAGTTTATGACCTGGGAGGCCTTTTTCACAGGAGACATTTTGACCTTTGTTACAGTAGAAAAAGCTCAGTTGTAAATCCATTAAAGTCCATTTAGCTGCTTGTTTTTCAGGGTCCTGGCGTTTGTGAATGCTGGCTCACTGTCACACTTACACTTACAGAGCCATAGTTGATGTTATTAGTAACACCTGTGCTCTTCCTACTATGACAAAAGTCAAAATGTCTATACTATGAAAGAGGCCTATTGGTCTTATGGGCAGGCTGGTATGCAAAGTCCATTTAATGGTTAAGTCAGGACTTTATAAGCGAGTTGACGCGATGGCTCAGTCACAGCCTTGCTCCTTTTTCAGGGTTTGATATTGAATGTGCAGCATTCAGTTCAGTACTCAGTTTTCATCCTGTAAGTGCTGCTTTTTTAGGCCTTTTATTTGATAAAGATGATGCGCTGGTTATTGGAAATCTTAGGAACACAACTGATCCCACAAGAATTTAATCCATTAAATTTTCAATTAGTAAAGAGGAGCCTGGTTAGTTCAGCGAACCATTTTCAACTCTGAGTCAGCCCGAGGTTGAGTGTGAGGGATTGTAACACCGATATTACAACCACGCTCTCTGTTGTTTGTGCATATAACTTTATCATCAGTGGCGTTTTAGTCCATTTCTGCTGCTGCTGCTGTTGTTGTTGTTGTTGTTGTTTGTCATCATGAGCCTCTTGAAGCACTGACTTTCCATCCTGCAGTAGCTGTGTGATGATGCACCATAGTGATGAACTCCACTATTCCCAGTGTTATCGCTCACTGCTGGTGGGTAGGCTATTATGGCATGAGTCACGACTGAGTGCCTAGCTGTGGGTGTCTCATCGGCGTGTAGCTGTGAAATACATACGCGTGTTTTATTTATGTTTTTCTCCGTCTATGTGTGAGAGATCGACATTTGACCTGATCCTCTGCTGGGGAGGGGGGGTCTTTCAATTGTTTTCTCCTTCACACTAACCTTTTCTCTGTCTCCCCGGGGTCATGAGTATCCCAGAACTCATTTCAGTTTTGCCTGCATGTTGTTGAATTGTTGTCCCCGTTGACATGTGTGCGAAGGTGCAGATGTCTGCCTTTGCACTCGTGCTGGTATGTAGGCTAGAGAGGTAATTCAAGTAATCCCTCTTGATGATAACTTTGAGGTGACTCAGTCTTTTTAATAACTGCTCTGTTGCATAGTGTATTTTTATTTTTTTTATTTTTTTGTGTTCATCTCAACATATAGTTTCCCAGCAAACACTTGGCAAGCTTCAATATGAGAACAGTGGAGAATCATAAAGGAGGAAACTTGAAAGAACAAAGGGAAATACCTCTTCCATAAACATGTTCATGGTTTCCTTTTAGCATATGTGTTCTTACCATTGCCAACAAAAGATGTAAGAAAACACCCTTTTTCATCTATTTATCTATCTATCACAACTTTACAACTATAAAAACATGATTTGCTTGAGGGTTGTGAAATGTTAGAGCCTATTCAGTGAATCCATAATATGTTAAATCTCTGGCCAAATCTAACAGAAATGATCATGTTAGCATTTCTATTCAGAATACTGTTTCTGTCACCTCAATCAAAGCTCATCAAAGTCATCTTATGTCACCCCCTTGTGCTCACAGCAATAAGCTTTCACGAGGAGCACAAAATGATTTTTGCAGTTTTATTTTTGCCTTGTAGCAACATAGAAGTTTCCCCACCTTATTCCTGTTGAATGTTGGAGCGATATGCAGCCTGAGAGGAAGAGTGCTGGCACTACTTGGGGCTAGAAAAAGCACTGCAATCTCCTGTGCAAGTGTTTTGGAGCAAACAAACCTTTAATTGATATTTTTATTCCCTAAAACATCCTGGAATTAGAATAATATTATTATATCATTCATCAAAAGTTAGTAGCCCAATGAGAATGTATAAGAATGGTTTCACACTCTTCAATCAAGTTTGTAAGATAACAGAAGCCTCCTCAAGATGATATTACTTAATGGGAATATTATGTAAAAACGGAGGACAACGCAAACTGCTAATTATAAAAAGGTTCACACATGTGGGTGGGGTGTTATTTTCAGGTTGGGTGTTTTTTAAAAAGTTTCCTTTTGATTAACACACACTCACACACTGCAGGACGTTTGCTTCCAAACACTGCAGTGCTGCTGTCCTCTAACAGGAGTGTAGTCAAGGTAATAGTGAACATCATCTTATCTCTGACAAACCAATAAAAACATATTTTGAACAACAATATTAGAGTGCATTTGATGAGAGTCGGTTGACCTCCGCCATGTTAAACAAAAGAGGTTCTTGCACCTTCTATAAACACTTTAATGTAATTTAATTGATTGTCTTGGATAGGGATGTAACGACAATTCACAATACTAGATTCATGATATGATTTCTTTAACAAAAATGAGATTAAAGACAAATTACGACTGAAAAATCTCATCCATGTCTTTGTGCCTTGGTACAGCTACTGAGTGAGTGATGTAGGAGGTCGAACATGCAAAGTCAAAAGTCTGCTGTCACCAAAGTCACCAGTTTGACACGTCACATATTTGTATTGTGATTTAACTGTCTTGTGATATATAGTTACATTCTGAGTGTTGGGGTTGTTTAGTCTCTTTTACCGCAGGTATCTTGTAAGCTTGTCAGTGGCTGTTTCTGTTGGTTTTGTCAACTGGTCTGTAAAGTGCCTTGATATCCGTTCAGGAACGCCGATCCACTGAGAAGAGTTGTTTTCTGCTGCAGACTCATTACACTCCACTGTTGACACTAAATGGGCTAGCGAAAGGATTTAGAGGCCTATTCAAATGTCACATTCTCCGTTTTTTTTTTTTTTTTGTTGTTGAGCCAAGCCTGCTGCTTGGTCAAATGAGTACTGGCAGAAAGAATGTGGTAACATCCAAGATCCCTTTTTCTGTTTGCCTTCTTCTGGAGAAGCACACTCCTAAATCCCAGTGGAGGACCCTAAGGATGCCTCCTCTCTTTGTTTCTTTTTTTATTTATAGTTTCTGTGTCTCCCTTTTTATTTCTTTCTCTCGTTACGGTTGCTAAAACAAGCTGGTTGTCTCTCTGAGTCACTCTGGCCATCTTCCCTCAGGCTCCTCCGCTTTCTGGCACTGATGTCATCAGGCTGCGCCGTGAATGCACCATCGCAGCAGGAAAAAAAAAAAAGCTGGGAGTCTCCCTGTTTCCATTCACAGGATCCACATACCCAGATCAGCATAAAGAGTGGCGGACTAAAGTCTGCTCGCTGGGTTTTGCGGTCAGTGGAAAAAGTTGGAAGATCAGCCTACTGTTAACTGTTGCAGACATCTTTAAGTGGATTATTGTGCCCCAAATCTATGTTTTTTGACTAGTTTAACAACAATTTCATCATGATTAATTAATAGCAATCCCCCAGCCATTATGGTTTCTCCCTTAACAAAGACAACAGTACCTGAGTAATGGGTTAAAACTAACTCTTACAGAGAGTAACGTAGGGCATGGGTTTTTACTGCTGAGTGGTTAATTTTATGTTTGACAGGCAGACAGACTCCTCTCCAACCAGTAGCTAGTCCTAATCTCTTTATGGTCTTGGATTTGGTCCGGTGATCTGGGCCCTGCTGACTGGAATAATGGCTGACGAGATGAAAGGGAAAGATGACGGTGTGTGAACTTAATACCCTCTCCCTCTCGCTGTTGTAATGAGTAGGTTCTGCCTGTGTAATTTAGCTGATTTAGTGTTAGTATCCTCGATATTAGACAGCTCACCAACAGCATATTGTTTGATTGCAGTATTGGTTTATTTATGACTTTGGAAGCAAGAGGTGTCCCAGGGGAGAGGGAGAAGCCAGATAAGGAGTTAGAGAGCGAGTTAGCTGGCTAGCTGGTTGATACTTGATAAGCAGCAGGGATGAATATTTCACTGGTCACAAGGCTGAGACACTCCAGCAACAACATCAAGCTCTGAGCCTGTTTTCTGTCTCTGAGCGCGTGTATGCCCATGTGCACATAATATTGTTTGTGTTTTGTTTGTGAGAGAGTGTAGTTTGTTTTTTCACTCGCTCCTTGTTCTGCTGTGCCGAGCCTCTGTTTATGTCTGCTGCCACTGCTGAATAATTTACAGGGATGTTGAATTAGAGAAGAATCTAACGCTGCCAAGAGAAGGTGTTGAGTGGAAAGAAGCAGGAATTTGACTGACTGAATCATTTAAAAACGTGGGCAGCTGAATCACAAAGCGTTGCTCACAGGACAAAGTTGAGAGTCTCTGTGTACCTTGCAATGTCTCCAGATAGCCTTCCATCAGCGAAGACTCAAACCATCAGAACAAAACCCCTTTTGTCTCCCTACGAATATCCAGTTACTGAATGGCTCCACAATCATACATCACCAGGGTTTGAAAGCTGATTGGTGATATTAAATGTTGTCACTAATCTGAGTGGTGTTGGTGCTGATACTCATCTTATTTAGCCGATCAGACATCAGCCATGACATAAATAATCCACTTAAATGTCAGTTTCTTAGTCAGTGTTACCATAAAATGCAGTGTTTATGACGCTATCTTTCACAGTGGGCTGTTGACTCACGCACAGCAATCCCTGGTTTTTTCACTGCAACACAAAAGGAAATATAATAAAAAAATAGGTTTTGCCCTTGATTATAGGGGTAGGTGTTGAACAGCAGCACTTCTTTGTGGGAGTAGCAAGTATCAAAAGATGTTGTTGAATGCTTTGTCAGCTTCTTAGTCTTGTTTACTTTATTCTTTCCTCAGATATTTCATGATGTAGATAATAACTTTAGCTATGATTAGTTTGGCAAAGTTATTGTGTTGTGTTGAGATAAAATTAAACTTGTTTGTTTTAAAGAAACGGTGCGAACCATGGAGTTGGCCAGGCACCCTTTGTTGCATGTCATTCCTCAACTCTCTCTCTCAACCCTTATTTCTGTCACCTCTGTACAGTTTTCTGATGTGCTGAGACTTCTTCACCCTAAAATATATGCATTGTTATCATATCAGTGCACAAAATCAGGTATTGCATGCATTGAACTTCAAATGATACTCAGTCCTGTTGTGATTTTATGAGCACACACACTCCTCACAGCGCATATCTAAATTAGTCGGGCAGTAAAATAAAGCTTTAAGTTATTGTCTTGATGTTACCGCCATGGTAATCGGGTCACTCTGTCAGTAGTTGGTGTTGGTTGTGAAACTCTGAGCTTTGATCTGACCCTATTTACAGATAGACACATACTTCAAGTGTGTGAGAGATTAGCTAACAAGATTAAGTTTACCTGTACGGCCTGTATACTGTACACAAGTGTGTGTTTATAAGGGAGCGAGTCGGCTTTATTTTAACACTACCACTAGCTAGATCTAGTGCTACTGTAGTGCTTTGTTTCACTGCATTGTTGCTTGACCACAAACCACAGTGACTGTGACTTTTTCTGGAGTTCAAACATGACCTAGTATGCTGCACCTCGTACATATCACAGGATCAAGGATGTGTGGCTCTCGACAGCTAGGGAATGTGAAAATCAATAGCATCCCTCTTTTTTTAGAGATTCCATTAGACTGGTCTGCGGAGATGTACGGGTCAATAAAGCATTTAGGATCTGGCCACTCGGCTAACTATTAACCAATAATCAAACTGTGAACAAGGGCAGAAAACACTTAGGTCATGGACATTGAGTTTGTGTGTTCAAGTCTGTTTACTTAAGTTAAAGAGCAAATAGAGTAAACACAGAATGACTGCAGCGTACAAAAGATCTTATATCATAGACACTGAGGTTATAAATATCAATATTGGCTCATATCTTTAATTAAAGATGAGTTTTGGCACCTTATCGTGAGTACACACATTTTCCATCTAGCATGGATCTCACAAACTACAATTATACTGAGCGGCAACATATAATAGTGTCAGACCAAGGCCTTTACCTCAGCTCTCACTGTACACAACCCTGTGTGCGCTCTTTCTTTCTGTCCTTAAATCCTCTATAGTGTAGCCTGTTTCTCCGTCTGATTTAAACAGCAATGTATGACCCTAAATTATAGGCTTATTTTATAGCATGTTATTAAGAAGACGCAGGTTTTGTTTGTTTTGCAAATTAATGGTTTTGGCTTGTTTGAAAATGGCTGTTGGGGAAATAATATTGCCTGATATTCATGAAAAACATTATTGCATTGGAAAGGCAGCCCTCGGTTCTCATCCAATACACCAAGCCTAACAGTTGGGGTTTTGTTTGTTGGGCCTGTCATTTTGCCAAGAATCTGTTTCTATAAATATTCCCAGGCTCAGAACTGCACTTCTCATCTGTGTCTTGTAGGTTTGCTAAGAACCTGTCGCCAGACAAGATCAACCTGAGCACGCTGAAGGGGGAGGGCCAGCTGACCAACCTGGAGCTGGATGAAGAGGTTCTCCAGAGCCTGCTGGACCTTCCCACCTGGCTGGCCATCAACCGTGTGTGCTGCAACAAGGCCGCCATCAGGGTGAGGGACCCTGTTATATTTTGGGAAATATGCTAATTTGCTTTGAGTTTGATAAACGGAGTTATACCTCTCTCATGTCCGTACAGGAAATATGAAGCAGCCAGAAAGCTTAACTTAACATAAAGACTGGAAATAGGTGGAAACTGCTATCTGCCCCTTTTGCTTTAAACTATTATCGCTTCGAGTGTATTGTTATATTAAAACCAAAGTACAGAGATAAGATTTATTTTCGTGAATATTTAAAATTCTGTGCTGATTTATGTGGTTTTATTTCAGGCTTAAATTAAAAGAAACCTATAAAAATCCATCATTATCCTCATTAAATACAGCCAGGCTGACACTTAAATCAGGCCACATAGTAGATACCAATCAACACCTATCTCGTACACTTTGAATGACTCTTTGCACTGCACACGCAGTCTCTGTTGGAGCTGTCTGATGTGGTCATGATCGTCAGCATTGTGCCATATATAAGAGCAGACTCTGACACACCCTGGAAACAGTGAATGGAGACTCGTAATTTGCTTCGTGACTGGACTTTTATTCAGACCAAGGTCCACTTTCCACCTCTTCTTTTCCTCCTCCACCTTATTTTTTTCCTCTGTGTTCAGTCTTCACATTTGAATCGCCATTTTGTTGCTCACTACCCTTCCTTTGCTGCCTTTGCTTAATTGATCTGCAGGCTTGATTCATGTAGTCTCATGTTTTTACTCCAGGTATTTGCTGTGTCACTGACAGTGTGTGTAACACTAATGCAGTGTTGCAACTATAATACTCACATCCTTAACAATAGGTGTGTGTGGAGCATTAGATTTCTCAGTGAACCGTGAAGCTGTGGTATCGCCTGGCTTCAGCTTAAAGTGTAGTGCAGTTTTTTTTTTTTTTACTGTTAAACTGGTAAAAAAAAAAAAAAAAGGAGAACAGAGATCTGTATCACACTTCCTCACTTGTTAGATCCCCGTCTCTTCCTGTTACAAAGGACCGAAACCCAACACTCTCACATTGTCATTTTAAAAGACTGTCATACGGAAGTTAAAGTAAATAAAAGTTTGTTTACTGTATTTATTGCTCATAAAATATTTACACTGATTTAAATGGCAATTAATGTTTCTGCTTTGGTGACTTAAAGAGAGACGCCTGAGCTAACACCCCCCTACTGGCATTTCTATGACAGAGGCAAGGCGAATAAAATGTGTCTCTAATTCAATTAGAGCCTTAAATCCCGAACATTCTCTCACTTCTTGATTCATGACGTCTCAGAGAACGAGTCGTTTTGTGGGGGGGAATAATGCATGTGACGATAAGCATTTAATCTCTTTTACTATATAATTTGACACTGACTTGGATCAAGAGGAAACATGTTGAGGATTAATGAAGCTCTGGAGCTGAATGGAAGGAACTGCCAGTCAGTCTAGACTCATTGATTTCTTTTTCTTCCTTCATCTCTGAGCTACCTTGCCTTGCCTTGATCTAATTCTGTGCAGTTTGGTTTCTTGTAATTTGATTTGTACATCCCATTGGCTGATGATTTAGTTTAGCATATTGGGAGGACTCAAAGGCCACATACTCACTGTAGGGATCCCAATACTGTAAGGCTGAAAAGCTAAGCCACTGTTTCTGTTTTCTTTGATAGATACCATGGACAAAGTTGAAGACTCACCCCATTTCTTTGGTAAGTTTCAGCTCCTACACCTGTTGCTCACATAGACAAAAGTACGAAAGTACCACAAATTAACAAAAAAGTTCCAACTGTAGTAGGACAGATTGACACGCTGTTGCCCTGCACAATTTACTTGTCGTCCATCAAATGTTAAATGACGCAGTTCATCACATGGTGAAGATCAGGAAACAACTGAAGGTGTTGTAGCCAGTGGCTGGGTTGTAGCCACTACCGATGTTGGAGAGGATTCGTTGATATTTCAGAGGTGTGTCTTTTTCAAACGGGCCAACTGAGCTTCCTAAAGCGGTGGCGAAAGCCAGTTTGAAGTACTTGCAGATGTAACATCTTTGAGGGCCTACAGCTGCTCGTCCTGAGCCTTGTTTAACTTCCAGAGCTCCTGGCTTTTGTAGAACTGCAAGTTGGCTTCGACAGTGGCCATTTTTTGCATCATGGCGCCGAGGTTTTGCTCAAGCGTGCTCTGTGTCTGTGTCGTGGCTGCCAGCTTCTCCCTCATGGCTGCCACCTCGCTGAGCAGGGCGCAGGTGTCAGGTTGACAGACTGCCAGGCTGGACCCAGTCCCCAGGTAGCTGTAATTCCCAGTGCACAGACACGGAAACCAACAACAGGAGGAATGTACGCTCCGTTTTACACTTGTCTCAACAAAACCTGGATGTTGCCTGTGGTCCTCAGTCCTCAAATATATACTTCCAGCACCTGATGTTTTTTGGCATGCCATATTAGTTAATATATTATATACGATATTACAACAAACATATCAGGGAAACACACAACTGTAACACTATTTACATTAACATTTAGCGTGATTATCAGGAGCACATTATAATAAAAGTCGCTTTGTATTAAAAGGTAGCACAATAGCACTGTTGAATCTGGTTATTAGTCACTGTAGAACATAATGGTATCACACCATCAACAATCGCAAAGCCTAGTTTGAAATGTACAACAGTGTGATAGGCGTATTGCTGTATTCTGTAGGAGAGGTTACTGAAGGTGGTACATACAGTGCTGAAAGCCGTGTCGTAATAAAGAGGACATAATTCATGTTGTTTTAAGGTGTTTTATCCTGTGAGACAAAAGCTGCTACTTGTGTGCAAGTGGACAATATGTAGGCGGCTTCAATATCTGCAATAGGCTGCAACTACCTTCCTCCACATTTATTTTTATCGATCGAATTGTACTGCGAGTCTCAAGCCCGCACACATTGTAATTGGCAAAATAGATGATGAACATGAAGACAAAATAGACTTAGCAGCCTCTTTGAAGACATTGGTCGTTGGTGGTGAAGTTAAGCCCATGACTTGCTTGCAGACCCTGGATAAAGTGGAGATGGAGATGAGTACCTGTGATGAGCCCCGTCCCCCCAATGGCCCATCTCCCATAGCAACAGCATCAGGACAAAGGTCAGCACTGTAGTAAATCATCAATTGTTATGTTCTTTTACGCTGCTGTTGTTTGGTTTGTTATAATTAGGAGAAGAATACCAAACACTGAATCCATTGTACATTGTACTGTACAAGTACTCAATACACTTTCACAACTTACGATGCTGCATAGTGTTTAGTTCTTTTTATTTTAGAGAACTGCTTTGCTGCTTTAATACTTGTTTTTCTCTCTATGCGATCAATAAAGTTTATCTTAAATATATGTAATCTTAGCTTCCTGTTCTAGATATTCTGGGGTTCAGTGTCATATTTGAAGTATATGAACTTGTATTTATGTTCAAAATCTGTTGGTACAGTACTGACTAGTAATATCATATTGCACTCACCCTGTTGCTAAGCACTACTTATCACCTTGTTTACCTTACTTTCTCTCCACCCATGTCCACCTGTCTGTGTCCCATGCAGTGAATATGGCTTTGCTGAGAAGGTGGTAGAGGGAATGTCACTATCCATAAACTCCATCGTCGTCAGGATCAGTGCTAAAGCCTTTAACGCCTCCTTTGAGCTCTCCCAGCTGCAGGTCTACAGCGTCAACACCAGCTGGAGCATCAGTGATCTGCGATTCACCCGCATCCAGGACCCTCAGAGGGGAGAGGTCGGTATTTATTTATTTTTATTCGAAAAGACTGCTAGACTGTTGTGTCAGTCATAGTTTATCGTGCCTGTTCTGTCCAGATCCTGACGTTCAAGGAGATCAGCTGGCAGATGATCCGTATCGAGGCTGACGCCATCCAAAGCGCAGAGCATGAGATGTTGAGCGCCCCCATTCGCCTCATCACCAACCAGTCAAAGATCCGAGTCACTCTCAAGAGACGGGTCAGCCACAAACACACACACACACACACACACCCCCTTTGAATATATTCAGACATTCACTTTAGGAAATTTTATGGATCAGGCTTGAAATCCAGACTGCTCTAAGCAACAACTTCTGTGAACAATAAACCCTCTGTGTGGCCTCACAGGCTGCGGGGCCAGCAGCAGCGAATCATCAAATGGCTAGTGTGCATTTAAACCAAAAACACTACTTACATCTGTTTTGGAGATGTGAGGATTTAATTTAATGCAGCATAAAACTTTCACACAAGAGATTTTTGTGTGAAAGTAATTAACCCGATTGGTTCTTTAGGCTTTTACGGAACCGCTGAATACAGCAGTTTCCACAAAACACAAAGTTCTCTCCCAAATATGCAGTTATAGTTCCTATTATAAAAAGATATGCTGTTTGGGATTTACCCGATAAAGAACATGTAATGTGTGCTTTAGGTGTTGGACTGTAGCTATTCAAAGTAAGAAAAAGCAGTTTAGTACAGTTCCAGTGAATTTGGTTTATACCTATTGGACTGGAATAAGAAAATTTCCCTTTGAGTGTCATGTTACATTATTCGGAGCTCTCCGGCTACTTTTACCTGCGTAATGCATGTTTATACCAACCGGCTCTACCTGATACAGATTAAGGACTGTAACGTGGTGGCCTCCAAGCTGATTCTGATCCTGGACGACCTGCTCTGGGTGTTGACCGACTCCCAGCTCAAAGCCATGGTGCAGTATGCCAAGTCTCTAAGCGAGGCCATGGAGAAGTCCGCACAGCAGAGGAAGAGCATGGCCACGGAAGACCAGGTGCGCACACAGATATACACAAACACAGATACTTCCATACATATAGGGGACAAATTTAACATTTTCTTATCTTCTTTCTCGCTCGTAAATGGTGATTTATCTCCCTCTCTCTGTCTCCTTTTCATATTTTCAACATTTCCCTCTTCCTCCCCCTTTCCATGCCCTAATTCCTCTCTCTGCGGAGAAGCCACGTCATGGTCTGATAGTTTGTCCTTGTGTCCATGGATGTCATGTCTGCCCCTCTCTGTGTCAATCCTCTGATGCCATATGGCGTCTATCTGCCTACCCCATCTTTGTCTCTCTCTGTTGCTGTCAGTGTCTTTCAGTCTGCCATATTTTTTGCTTCTAAGTCACACACACACACACACTAACAAAATGTACATTTATCGCCCACACAAATTCACACCCATTCACTTCCCACAAAACATACAATGGTCAGTGTGTATTCTTTAGTTTGGTCTTACGCACCATCTGCTGGAGGAATTGAGAATTGCATGACTCAGCTGTTTTTAGAACCTAACAGTCTCTGTGAGCCAAAAACTTACACATGACCCAAAAACAACGTAACACTAACCCAGCCTGAGAATACAGAGAATATTTAAAACTTTAATGCTAATCTTAATATCTGTGCTTCTTCCATGTCTCTGTTTACCAGGTGTCATCAGCGCCCCCCACAGCCCAGCAGGTGCGCACCCAGCAGGCGTCCACAGCAGCTGACCAGGGTGCAACCATGGCCAAGCTGTTCAGCGCCTACGACGTATGTGAGACATCCCACCACCTGCAGATCACGCACCTGGACCTGCACATCTGTGACGACATCCACGCTAAGGACAAAGGTAGCATATACACAGATCTACGTGCACTGTACATTGCGGTGTACATTTATTCGCATGCGTTTACATGACACGACACATACACACCTTAAAGGGCAGAACTTATAACTCCACTGATACAGAGATGCTTTACTTCAATGTGATATATAATTGATTCGGGTCTTAAATGTTTTTCTTGTTTTTAGTCACATTTATTTGCCTTTTTATTAAACCACAGAGATTAGTGCATCAACATTTCACTAAAAAAAATCGATATTTTTTCCCTTTCTGCAGTGATCAATAAGAGGATAACGGGTGGAGCCATGCAGCTTTCCTTCAGCTCCATTACTCTGGACTACTACCCTTTCCATAGAGCAGGTATGAATCCTCCCGTAATACTTTAGCTTGAAGGCATGCAACATATTTACTACCATGCAATGCTTCCTGCATCCTTACTTTAAATTCAGGTTTTATTTCTGTTGGGTTTTTTTTTGTTCCATGGCTGTTGTTTTGTTTTTTGTTGTTGTTGTTGTTCTCATTTTCATTTGATGTAACCAAAGCAATGTACAAACACTGTTGGCACTGTAACAAAACATACAGTAGAAGCCCCAACTTTCCATATTTTTTAAAGTAATTGCATCAAATAATAATATTACATATTGTTATAATAAATAATACCAAACCAAGTATATAGAAATGAAACTAAATTAAATTATTTAATTACATAAATCGAAGTGCAAAGAATGCATACAGTGCTTGAATCTTGGTAAGCAGAACCAGAACAACGACAACTGATGGATACACAACTCCCTGTACCAATTTGTGTACTCTCTGACCTCTCCAGGTGACAGTTGTGCTCACTGGATGCACTACAGCGAAGCCACCAAGACCAGGGAGGGCTGGGCACGGAGTTTACTCGATGAGTTCAAGTCCAACGTGGAAATGTTAAAGACTGCAGTTCGAGACCAGCAAGGTCCCGCCCCTGTGCACAGTTCCCCACAACATGGTAAGCACACGCTTACACATGTTAAATGTTATGTATGACTTGTTCAGGGTGTCAAATTTTAATTGTATTTCCTGGCAAACACACACAGCACATCATCCCTGTGGGTTTTCTGTCCTCCAGTGTCCCTTAGGGACGATGTGTATGGGCCTCTAGGAAGTCAGGAGAGAGCAAGAGGAGGAGGAGTAGGGCTTAGGGAGGCAGATGGATTCCTAGAGTGGAGCTCACACACACAGCCTCCGGCCCAGTGCTGCTGGTGCCTAGAGCCAGGTACCACGGTGTGTGTGCGCACAGCTGGGTGCGGTGATGCACACCTTTTTGCAAAGCACAGAGGTTTCCCGTTGGAGAACTGAGTGGTCACTCTGTTTGTCTCCTTCTTTGTCATTCCGTTCATTTTTTGTTCCTCTCTATCCTTTCATCTCTTTACTTATCTGCAGGTAAGATAAACACCTCATCCAGTGCTGCCTTCAGTCCTCCTCCCACTCAAAGCCCCAAGACCCAGCTCATGTCCAGCTCTGTTGTTCTCAGGATGGCTGACTTCAGCATCTACCAGGTCACTACAAACACATGATGGCTTACAAACTTTCATACACAGACACCTTAAGACTACATACATCTTCATTGCTAACTGTGAGTGAGAGTTTTGTGTGCCTTTTTCTGTGTTGCAGGTGTCAACAGCCGACCAGCGTCGCTCCAGCCCCAAGACCATGATCTCCTGCAATAAGAAGTCCTTGTACCTTCCCCCAGAGATGCCAGCCATTCATGTGGAGTTCACAGAGTATTACTTCCCTGATGGAAAAGACTATCCCAGTAAGATTTCAAGAAGTTGGCATCTAATTTTGGAAACATTCATCTTTATTTAGCAGTTCATGAGCTGTGTAAGTAGCTGTTTTTATGCACCAGGCCCACTGTTTTGGCAGCGACTTTCTGTCTCTCACCTCCCTTCTGGATCTGTTCAGCCTATTTGTTCAGCTGTGGGGAAGTCATTGACTGCTGTGTGGCTGAGTGGACATTGATTTTCAGAATTACGCCTCGTCCTCTGAATGAGGAATCACCCAATTAATTCATGTTATGGATTTCTCCCAAATCCCCTCCATTAGGAAACACAATATGAATAGTTAAGAATAAACAGTACACACAAAAATGTTTTGCAATTTAAAAAAACTACTAATAAACTGGAAACTAAAGAAACACTATAATGTATCTCTTCCTCTTCTCCTCATCCTCCTTCTTCTGTAGTCCCGTGTCCTAACCTGTACGTCCAGCTGAACGCCCTACAGCTGGTTCTGGATCCTCGCAGCCTGGTGTGGATCAATCTTTTTGCCCTTGACCTCAGGCAGAGTCTAGAGCAATTCATGGAGATCTACAAGCTCAGCGACTCGCAGAAACCCGACGAGCATGTTGACATCAAGGTTGACGGCCTAATGCTCAAGGTACAGTGGAATGCAGAAAGGTGGCCTTTGAAATGTATTCTCTGGCATTTATGTAAATTTTCCTTTACATACTTTCTGCTCTCCATTAGCTGGTGATTCCCACAGATCGGGAGGCCTCCTGCCCTCCAGATCTGCCTCGCTCCATCTCAGTGCAGACTTCAGAAATGGTGGCGACGAACACCCGGCACCCGGCTAACTGCACCCGCTCCCATCTTGAGGCCCTGATACAGGCCTTTGAAGAGGAGCCCTTCTTCTCTCCCACTTTCTCCTCATTCCCTCGCTCCTCCTCCTCCTTACCCCTCCTCCATCCCGTCTTCCAGCGCCATGCTCACGAACAAGATACCAAGCTCCATGACATCTACCGGGGCCTGGTGGTGCCGACGTTGGGCACAGACTCCCTCAAGATGCCGGCCGCCGCCGACTTTTGGGCGTTGCACTTTGCTCAGTTCTGGGTGGACTATGAGGGAACCCGTGGAGGCAAGGGGCGGCCGCAGCCCTTTGTAGACTCCTTCCCGCTCACCGTGTGGGCGTGCCAGCCTGCGAAGATTGTCCAGCACCAGGAGAGGCTTAGATGTGCTGCTGGATCAAGTTTGTCCAGGAGCACATCTGGAGAGGCTGTTGCACGTCTACAGAGGAAACGTTTACTAAAGGAGTATTACAGTACTGAGGGTGCAACTCACGGCAATGATACAACACCGCCACCCAGTAACGGACTCCATAAACCCCTCTCGATGGACAGTCTGCCTTCCTCCTCTTCTTTGTCGTCATCAAGTAAAAATGCAGGTGTGCATGTATTGGTGCACGTTCAGAAGCATTTAAGTGCTCAGGTATGTTTTTCATTCTTATATTTTTCAATACTCCATGTTACACGGAGAGAAACTGGGACTGTTAATTACTCTTTAACTGATGAATGTATAACATTTGGGCAACTGTAGACACAAAGCAAACTATTTGACAATGGATAAAAATGTTAATTTGTGAGTCTGTCATGTAGAATATTTTGGTTATTACTCATCAGATCTTTGATTTAACATGTGGAGATTTTTATTGTTGCCTTTTGATATTTAAATAAATGTTGAAGTCACTTATTAAGTATGCTTCTGTCTTCTAAAATGTGATGGTTTGCCACTTTTACTTATTTTATATTGTTGTAAATTAAGTGTCATTAAAACAAGACTAAGAATCTACAACCATGCTACACAATGCAGCAGTGCTTAGCTGAATGTTGGGATGCGAACATGCTCACAATGAGAATGTTAACGTGTGTAGCAGGTATAATGTTTACCATATTCACTGTCTAAGTTTAGCGTGTTGGCCTTTAATTAGTACAAGAATGCCGTAAGCTGGAATTCATCACCATATGGTAATATGGAAAGGTAATAACCACTTTGGTCTGTGTGTGTTCAGGTGAGCCACCGGCAGTATGTGTTTCTGATGCATCTTCAGCGCAGCATCAAATCCTTGCAGCAAACACTACAGCAGGATCTGGAAAAGATGTGCTCCAAGAAGGACCGCAAGGATCCTTCTCAGCATCCTGCAGACCACCAGCCCTTCACCGTCTGCCTGGGTCTTCTGCTGAAAAGTGCAGAGGTGTCCCTGCTCCTGAAGCCAGTCCCCCAGCCCGAGGGTTCGCGCTCTCCTCTGGGGTCCGAGCTCTCCCCCTCTGAGAGCCGAGGAACTCTGGAGCCTGGGAGCGATGCAGGAGATGGGGCGGAGAAGGGGAGTGAAGGAGCTGGATCTGGGTCTGAAGGAGGAGCAGCCAAAGGGGGATGCACGGTAGACCAACTGTTATGTGGCGAAGGCTCGGAGGGTGGACCCACGCATGGTCCTGCCCCTCTCCTCCCCACTTCCTCTTCAACTACACGTCCTGACTCAAATCACAAATCCTCACTGGAGGAGAGGACTTCAGCTAAGAACTCTGGGAAGTGGAGTTCAGATGACAGGGGTGAGGCGGGAGTGGATGGGTTGGCTGGGGGTGAAGAAGTAGGAGCTGGACTAGACACTAAAACCCAGATGAGTGACCCTGTATCTGACCCACTAAGCAGCAAAGACTGGAGCGACAAAGACTCAGCTGCAGCCTCCAAGATGCCTCAGTCAATATCCAGGTATGCACTTTAAAACACAAAAAAGCTGTTAATTTATTTTGTCAGTGATATACACAAAGCCATGTAGGCTAAACATACATTAAAGGTTTTTATAATTGGAACAAAAATGGTTTTATCTATACCTCAAAAAAAAGCTTTCAGCGCCATTCAGGCTGGTTCATTTTCTACTTAAACAATAAATAAATTGGTATCTTGACAGAAAATTAATCCACAGCAATTTTGATGCTAAATATTTGCTGGATTCATCTTCACTAATGCAGTGCTTTGCTGTCCTGTTTTTAAATTAAATTAAATTTAAATCCCTTAGATTTTTGCACTGTTTGTAAAAACAATTGTAAACTACAAATACAAATTCTAAGAGCTCATAGTGGCATCTGATCTCGTCCGATCAACAGCCCCAAACCCAAGGATGTTTACTTACTTATCCACTATTAAATGAATGTAAATATTTAAAATAACTAGCTCCACTGTACCTGGTATTTCTCACTATTTCTAACAAAATAAATCAATAATAATTTTATTTAAAACAGTAAGCAATAGATTAATCAATGAATTGCCGCCCTTAAAGGATCACATATTAACCAAGTAATCATATGTTACAGTTCTTAGATTTAATAACTGAATCCCCCCCCCATGCGTCACTATAGATGATTAATCTAATGAATGAGTCTTCCTCTTTCTGTTCCTGAACACAAGAGCTGTACTTCTTCATGAGACTGTTTGTCCGTATGAATGTTCAGTTGTCTGACATTATGAATGTTGTTTGGCCTCAAGCTGCCATGTCTTTCTGTGTCCTCATCGACTGTCTCTCAGCTCATCATATTCTTGTCATTTCTGTCAGCTCATTCACTTCCTTTTCTACCTCTTGACCTTTGCTTTGACCCATGCAAGATGTGCGTGTGTGTTTTCTCTCTACCAAGGAAAGGAAGTTTGTCTGTGGTTTCTGATCTCCTCAGCTCCTCAAACTCCAGCAGATCCACCTCCCTTTATTCCATGTCCAACATGTAAGGCACTGGATCTGTGACTAGCTGTATATATGAGTGTGTGTATGTGTGTGTATATGTACTGTGTGAATGTGTCCTTGTGATTCTTGGATGAAAACAAATCAGTGCAAATGTGTGTATGTTACTTCCCCTGTGGGCATGCATTTGCATGTGTGCATGAGATGCTGGTCCTTGTCTGTTGGTCCGTATGTGTTAAAATGAGTCAGTTTTTTGTGTTGTTTGGTGTCAGCCTGTTGACTTGTGGTTGATGGTAGAGTTGTTTGTGAACAAATCTTTTTTTTCTTCTTTTTTTCCCCCAGCCTTGTGTTCTCAGTCTTTTCGGGAGCCACTTTGATTTTGTCCATTGTGATTTTTCTTTAGATCGTTTCTGGCGCTTGGGAGGATAGCACACTTGGTTCTTACATGACCTTAAACAACACCACACAAAGGAATGAAGCGATATTTAATTCATGACTTGTTGAGTAAGCCCTGTCAGCTCTCTGAGAGCGCAGTAGTTCTCGGCTCAGTGTCAGCATAAGAACAAAATTCCTATCAGATATGGTGAAATAAAAGCACTCAGGCCTGTTTTTTCTCCTCTTTTCTGGTCTCTTAAAATCAGTCGTAAATCAGTGGCATGCATGGACAGTGTTGCCCGAGCAGATATCAAACTATACAGAAACATATATGATTAAAATGATCTGATCCCTCACACTCTCTTCTATACGTGACACCCATGCCTTGTGTCTGTGTTGTAGTGGTCGTTTGATGCGGGACCGCTCCCAGTCCAGTTTCTCTGTGTCCTATAAGAACATGAAGAAGAGTCCGTCCCTGCAGTCGCTGGACAACATCTCCATAGACAGTTACTTGATGGAGGACGGAGACACATACAGTCTGCTGGAGAGAGGTGGAGCAAACTTTAATGCACTATCACACACAAATGTACAGTAAAAGGTGTTTGTACGAGAAAATGACCCTACAAGGATTAATATTTTTAGGTAGGAAGGTAAGTAGGATTACTGCACATGGACTGGTAGTCAACTGTATAAACCAGAAGGTGGCAGCATTGCTCTGTAATGTCAGTAATGTGCAGTGTTGCAGGGGAAGTTTCTTTACTCTTAAGATGTATTGATAAAGCCTGACAATGTACATAAGGCAAAGTCAAATGTGTGTCTTGTCAGTGTGAGTAATATTTGTATATATTTGCGTACGGTACAGATGACGTGTCCATCTCAGGCTTCAAGGACGCCATCAGCGAACAGAGTGCCACTGAGAGCGCCGCCGAGGCAGTGATCGGTCAGGAGCAGGAGGGAGGCGTGTCCCCCGACACTGTCAGCGCAACCTCCCAGAGCACCGACGATCCCACCAAAGATATAGTAAGATACCAAAAGTTGGTTTAGAAGTCTAGAAGAAAGTTTGGAAACATAAAATATCTGGAAAGATACAGAAACAATATTCTGGTACACACACATAACATCAGATTTATATTGTTATGGATTCACTGAGTATTTACTGTAACTGTAAATAATTGTTATACTGGCCTGAAGATATAGTTTGTACAGTACTAGAGTCAGAAAGGTCTGGAAGATGTGTATTTTGAAATGTAGGAACCCTTTCAGACGGCGCACTTTGTATGCTAACCTCTCCTCCAGGTGTCGGTGCTGATGTTGAAGGTGCAGTCGGTGTGTGTGGGCATGGAGGCGGAGGGCGAGAGCACGGCTGTGGCTCTGGAGGTGGGCCAGGTCACACCCAGCCAGCTGGGCAATGTCAGCCTCAGGCAGTACCTCAGCAACCGCAGCCTGGGTAAGAAGAAGTCTGCATACATGTTGAATTGTGTGAAATATGGTGCTTTTTTTTAATTTGAGCTCTAATGTGGTGTGTTACAGTTAACAGGCATTATTCTGTATGCTTTCTAGTTTCAAGGTATCCCTGCCACACTAATCAAAAAACATAATTACAGTGGACGAACAAGATCAAAACAATACTGTAATATTAGGTTCATTAGGTTAGGTTTTAGCAGGAAATATGCCTGATTTCTTTTGTGGCATAAAACAGCAACAGTTCTGCAAGTTGATCTAAAATTTTAGAGTTTCTCTTGATTGTAGATGTTGGGATGAGAAAAGTTTAAAAGGAAAAGTTTATCCCCTTGCATAAAGCAAAATATTGCCCAAAGAAGTAAAGATGATGCCAGAGACTGGAGGCTGAATTAAGTAGTGAAATCCTCCATGCAACAAGAAGTGAAGCAGTTATAGAAATAATACCACAACCATTGTCAAGTTGGTTTGAAACTAATATACTTTTAATATTTGTTTGATGTTCCTGGTTTGTTAAATTAAGGAATATTGTTGCATCATAATATCTCCGTATTTGGCGAACCACAAATTGGCAAAATACTGGAGTGAAGGACAAGCTGGTGCTGTTTTTAAAATGTGAGCTTGTTGATTACATAAACCAAATCCACCAAAATAGACTTCTGTGAAAGAAGGCTACAGGCTCAGGTTCAAACTAATGCTGAAGATGAAAGTGAAGGGGCATTTGTCAAGATTTAAGCACACAAGTAGGTCAGCTAGAAAACAAGGAAGAACAGCAGGGGAATGATTGGTGTGTGTGTCTGTGTCTTTGTGTGTGTGTGTGTCTGTGTGTGTGTGTGTGTGTTGTGTGTGTGTGTGTGGATTTAGACTAAAGCCAGCCACGTAACTAACTTTATTTGACAGTAGAGAGTGAGAGGAAACACAAGAGCAGAGAGAGGAAGAACATGTGATGATGGTCCTAGAACAGACTTAACGCTGTGTTGTTGGGTTTAAACCACCAGGATTCTCCATAACCGCCCCACCCCCTCCCACTTTCGCTTGTATTTTGCTTGTTCACATTTTAACACGAGACCGATGGAACGAAAGCAACATCAAGATATTCCTGTTTAACCCACAACTGACTCCGAACAGAAGCATTGTAGAGATGTAACACATAGAAAGCAGTTAATTTTTTCACTCGGTTTTCATTAAAAATGTCCAACATTTGATGCTTCCAGGTTCTTAAATATGAGAATTAATCACGTTTCTTGGTCTTGCATTACAGTAAAATAAGCTCTAGATACATCTGATCATGTCTGACTGAGCTCTAGGATATTGTGATGTTTAATTATTGGAATAATGGAAGAATCTATGAAGTAAATGGTCTTTAGTTGCAGCCCTAGAGAATCCTAGAATAGGTTCACCACTATTTCAAGTGTACACACACAGACACACACACATTTACGCACTAACACACACCCTCCTTTTATTTACCTTGCCATAACTCCCCACAGGTATGGTGTGTTCAGTACCAATACCTGCTCAAAGCAGCCAAGGTAACTGCTGTGTGTTAATTCACCATCTGTAACTTAACATGCATGCTTGCCTCAGCGAGTCTGTTTCCCACCTATGTGTGTGCGTGTATTACACACAAATTGTGCGTGTGTGTGTGTTTTCTTCCAGTTTGTCTTCTGTCCAATCTCATTCCCAGACTCAGGACTTTTGCTTGACGGCATGCACTGCAGTCGTACATAGATACAGCGTGTTGCAATGCAAGTGATTGCATGAAGTGTGTGTGGTTGACTGCTAATTCTTCAGCAACAAGGGGGTGTTGAGTGACACTGGGATCCCTTTCTTCCTGTGTGTCTGTGTGTCTGTGTGTGTGTGTGTGTGTGTGTGTGTGTGTGTGTGTGTGTGTGTGTGTGTGTGTGTGTGTGTGTGTGTGTGTGTGTGTGTGTGTGTGTGTGAGTGAGACACTGAGGTTTAAAAATGACAGTAATAGAGTGAGTGGTCCCATTATTTGCAACATTAGGCCCAGATACTCAATTGTGTGTGTTTGTGTGAGCCACATTCAAATTAATTGCGACTATTTGTGCAGACTGGTGTTAACCCCTGATCTTCCCATTCTCTGTGCCGCCTCTCTCCTCTCCTTTTCTCCCCACCTCCCTCATCTCTCCACTGCAGCAGACTTTGCAGTTTCAGTCCAGTGATTCAGGCAATGAGAGAAACGCCAGCTTTACCCCTTCGCTTCCTCTCCTCTTCCTCCTCCTCCTCCTCCTCCTCCCTATCTCACCAGAGCAATCCCTCCTCCTTTTCCATTTTTTTCCCTCCACCTTTCCTCCTCACTCTTCCCTCTAGCTCCTACTCCATCTTCCTACTAATCCTCTGTCATTTAACCCCCGCCCCCCTCCTTTTCTTCCCTTCATCTCCCTCCCTCTCTAGGCCATCCTTTCTCTTCCGTCCCTGTCTTATCACAGTCACTCAGTCCTTGGCTGCTGGCTGCCTCCCTCTCTTTCTCCCTCCCTCCCTCTCTCTCTCTCTCTCTCCCCCTCTCTCTCCCTCCATTTGCCTCGACCTTAGCCGCCCAGGATTGAGAGAGAATATGTCATTTTATCTGAGAAAAGCTGACAGCATTGTGTGTGTGTGTGTGTGTGTGTGTGTGTGTGTGTGTGTGTGTGTGTGTGTGTGTGTGTTTGTGTGTGTGTGTGTGTGTGTTTGAATGTTTTGCAGGTTCTGAAATTGCTCTATGGTATTAACCCTCTCTTGACTTTTCCTTCAGAGAGCATATTAAAGGGATGTGACACTCTTCTCGCTGTCATAATGAAAAGATTTCTTTAAGTGGCCATTTTCATGCCTTGCTTAGTGTTTCTATTGCAACTCGTGGTGTCTCTCGTCTGTTTTAAATAAACTTGTGCCTGTGCGTGTGTGCTTGCTAGCTGAATTTGTGTGTAAAGTTTGTTTGAAAGGAGGTTTTAATTACCCTCCCCCTTGAGTTTAACACCTGTCAAACCCAACTTTCATCAGTTTGTTTGTCTGCTTTCTCTCTCCTCACTTTTTCCTCCACCTTCACCTGTTGTTTTTTTTTTTCCTTCAATAAACAGGGAATCGTATCATCACGTTTCATGGTACCGAGAGTCAAATAATTCAGGTCATTCATGGGTGAAACACTTTATATTCACGTCTTTCACAGTTTTCAGTAACTCGGAGCTTCATTTTGTAGAGTGTCAAATTCATAAAAGGAAGGGGAAAAAAAAGATTCAATGGTTAAAACTTCCCTTTGAATCCTCAATACTTAGGTGGGAGTTTCCACTAAAGCCTCTAATCCCTAGTCCTCGGAAATAATTAAACATCACTGCAGCGAGGAGCCCGTGGGATCGTACAAAATCTCAAGTCTCCTTCAGCCCACCTTTTTCTTAATTCTTTCCTGCTCCTCTATTTTTCAGCTCACTTTGCTTTTTTCTTTGTTTCCAACTTTCTCTCCCACTCCTCTTTCTGATGCTCTGCTTCCTCTCTGTTCCTTCATCCCACCTATGACTTCACCCTCATTTAAACCTGGCCTTAACATGCACCCCCTTTTTTTTTTTTTTTTTTTTTAGAGTGAGCAAAGTTACATAAAATCAAGCATGATATAATGATGGGCTACAGAAGTTATGCATCTTTGTGGGCAACTGGAAGTACGCTTTAAAGTCACAGTGAACCGGCAGGAAATGTGATGCAATATTGAATGCTGTAGAGGCCTGTTGGCATCCACCCACACCTCCCTTACTGTTAGCTTATCAGACTAACTGTGGTAGATCAGGAGGAGGATGACAAAGCAGATTGAATAATAATCATCTACGCTCTCTTTTCATTTTTTAGATACAATTCAATTAGATACATTCAGGTCAAATGTAGATGAGACGTCAAAATATTTCAGTGTTGAGAAAATAATTAAATAGAAAAAAGAGGAATTCTAAAACCAACATATTCAAAATATTAACAAGTGCATTGAACAAGAAAGAGGAGCTTTACTGTCAGTTAAAGGACAGAGAAATCCTATTTCATATTGGGTGTATTTTAATGTCAGGTCTAAGTGTATTTCAGCTGAATCATCTCTACATGCACAACACAGGCGTGACACTGAAGCTGATGCTAACTGCAGCCTTTGACTCCTCCCTCACAGCTGGTGGCGAGATCAGCTCTGCGTCTGTCAAGGGCCTTCACAGTCCAGAGGTGCAGGCTCGCCTGGAGAGCGGGCCCTGTGCCGCCGCTCACTCCCCGCTGGCCGAGCGCAACGGCTTCTTACAGCTGCGTCTCCATGGATACCAGGCAAGCTTCTTGATGTCCACGATGCGTAACCTGGCCCACTTCATGGAGGACGACTCTGCGCCGCAGGTGCTTCCGATGGAGATCAGCATCAGAGACACGCACATCAACTTAAAGGTGAGAATCCCTTATGTTATTATATATATATATATATAATACTTCCTTCCTTTTATTCAGAGTTAAAAGTTTTTGTTTTACCCTGAGGTTATTGTTGTAGAACTACTGTTTACCTGCAGGATTTCAGCAGCATATTTGTCCTACTTTTTCCAATCGTGTTGCGGTAATAGACCCCATAACTCACTGCTGTACAGCACAGTAGCTTCTATAACCAAGTCAAATATTTTGAACCATGGCCTAATTGGAATTTGGATTTGAACTGAATGTTTAATGACATAGAAAGGCCTCTTTGCTTTCTCTCATGGGTTCCTTCACGGGTGAGTAGATTTCCTTTGGAACTCATGTGGAAACCTGAAAATGGATAATCCCCCTTTCACTCACTCACACACACACACACGCTCACACACATCAAAACTGCCACGCTCAACATGTGCTGTCTCTGCTGCAGGACGACGGTCCCCGGGACAATCCCTCCGACTCCGAGCCCTCCCCAATCACCCTGCATGTGGACAGTCTCATCATACACAGAGGAGACGACGGCTCCTTCTCTATAGGAGGTGACAAATGCACAACACATTTTCATCTGCCAGATATTTCTACTCTAGTAAAAACTAAATGGGAGGATCATTGATATTCTGATGAGGACACTGTTTAATTCATTACTCAGAGGAGAGATTACACAAAATATAGCCTAAGATTTCCTCCACTTGTGACTGATGCTTTTTTGCAGACGACACAATACTCCACATCTTCTTTGCCCCAAGTTAAAAGTACTATATCTAAATTCTGCTGTTAGGGTAGTAGCCTGGGATCATCTGGAGTTGTTTCACCACCATTGGCGTCATTGCAGTCAGCTTCTCCCAGTTAGGATTCCTTCAGTGTTCATAGTTCAGGAGGTTTCTATCAGGAGCTGAGCTATCTGCAGTAGTCTCCTCCTTCTCTGACGCTGTTCGGCAGACAAAGGAAGTCCTGGAGGGGCTACGAGGCGATTTGCTGCTAACGTTAGCTCAGCTTGTTTCTCCGATAAGATCCAGACATCCGATGACTTAAAACCTTCATCTGGCTAAATATATATAGTTGAAAACTAAGATCTTATGATAAAATTGGCTTAAAACTGAATTAAAAGTAAATTGGTTGGTAAAAAACAACCACAACGCATGCGCAAACGTGGATATGACGCCATTGACAGGCGACCGATGAAACACACCGCTACCTGAATAAAATGACAGATTTCTCTGTGTGTGGACATTGTTGGAAACATTTGAGATAATGTAAGTACACAACACAATAAAATATATAACATAGGTCTAGTGTTTATTGACATTTTATTGCGGAAATGTTACATATTGCAGACTTATTGGATGAATATTTTCAAATGAATATCTAAAATACTTAAAATTAGAACAAAGACTACTATCTATTAATATTATTTATTATTCTATATGTTTAGTTCACTGTTATATACATATGTTTAAATGAAAAAAAATATAAAAAGGAAATATACGTGCCCATGTATATGTATATACTGTAGGTCAACACGCTCAAATAAAAAATATTTAAAGTCTGCCAGATATTTCCACCTCCACTTCAGCTCTGATTCACTGCAGTTATGTAACACGTCCTATTAAATGTCCCATTAAGTCCACGCTCGATTCATCCACACCTTCAAATTCCCTTCCGATGTCTCTGTTTCTCCTCACAGTGGACACGGCAGCGGAGACCAAACCCGGGAAAGAGGGCGAGTTGATTGGCAGCACTCTGAGCCCGGTCCCTGAGGTTGTGGGCGCCGTCTGCAGTGTACCAAAGGCTACACAGACCCAAGCCCCGCCCACCAGCCCTCCTCCATCCACCAGAGAAAAGGTGAGACACACATGAAAGGATATTGTGTGTGGGGGTTTATACAGGCACAAACAAACACCTGCAGACAATCTTTAAGGTGAAGAATTGCATATTTTCTGCGTCGTTTTTCCTCCCACAAACACAAACTACTGAACAAGAAAGGCTTCTTCTTTACTGATCATTCTGGATGGAGTGCCAAATTTTGGTTTTCAAGCTATTCCAGCTTCCTGCTTGGCTTCTGTTTCTTCTACAGTGGGAGTGATATTCATCAATTTATGAAGAAAACGAGTTATATTTTCAGATTTTCAGTGAATAGTTACATAATGATGTTTAAAACCAGCAAGTGCTCCCATATAAACAAAAAAAACAGGTTGTTTGTCATTTAAATTCTTTTCTGCCACCTTTATAGTTAAGGATTAGTAAGGTTTAGGCAACCAAAACTACTTGGTTTAAGCTGCAAAGTGCCCCTCTGCTCAAAAATTAGTTTTTCTTCTTGTTCCTACAGTTTGAGCTTCACTGTGCAGAATGATGTCTGTGCAGAGTCTGACACTAGAAGGATGTTTTCACATTCATCTGCTGAAAGTGGAAAGTTTCTCTGTGCTCGTTGAAAGTCAGATTTTTAAGGGGCGGGGCCTACGAGCATGATTTGTGTCATCACAAATAGTTTGGAAGTCAATTCTGGTCCAGTATAAACTTGTACAGTGTGATGTAGAAACCTGAAGCCACCAGTGAACATACACTGAGAATGGACTTCACTGTGTAGGAGACATCTTGTGTCCAGCAGGAAAACTTACTTTACTTACTTATATTCATAGATTTCTGTAAGTTTTAATGAGGTTGAAGGAGTAGATGCCTTTATTTATAGAAGCAGATTATTTGTATACATGTCTTGTTTCATGTCTGGAGGAACATGAGAACTCAAGTGTTTACTGTCAGAAAGAAATGGGATGCCAATGTGATTTTTATGCCCGACTTTTCACCCTAATTTCCTCCCTCAGAAGTTTTATAGAAGTTTAACAACAACATGCTCCTTCTGCCTCTCAAACACAGGTCGTACCAAGGGTTTGAACAAACTACCGCTGCTTTTTAAGAAGGTTTTTTAATTCAAACTTTTGTTCAGCACCATTTCATGAAGCATGCATGTGGCTCTAATTTATTTTATTTATTTATTTAATTTTATGGATCTTTGTCCTTCATATGTGGATTCTTCAGCAAACACAACTTTTTGTCACTTTTTAGTTACACACACACACACACACACACACACACACACACTGACACATGCCCTTCTTTGTCGTTTGCTTACAGATGCTGGTGGAGGAAAACGAATGTTTGAAAGTGGAGCTGTCTCGAGCCAAGATGGCGCTGGCCGAGGCTCAGATGGAGAAGGACTCGCTGCTGCACCGCATGAAGAACCTCAAAGTCAACACCAGCTAGACTCGGCTCTCTCTCTCTCTTTCTCTTCACACCCAGCCAGTCAAGTCATTCAGCCCCCCCACTGGTCTGCAGTCATAAGGCCTGAGGGTCGAGGGTCAGCAACTTAATTAAAGGCAACATCAACAAGTGAAGGAAAAAAAGGGGGGAGGCATTTCTCGATTAAAACTGCTCCCTTTACACGCTTATTTGTTGAGTGAGCCACCACGTGATTATAGACTTCAAAATAATTCCTTCATAAAGCAATGCAGAGTCTGTGGAGACTCAAAAATACATGTTTTTACACGCTTGTCGTCTGTTTTATGTTCTCCACTTTGGACTGTGGAGGCTCGATTATATTCGGAGAGGGTTGAAAAGGGAGAAGTGACATTTAGTGAGACTTAAAGTGTGTGTGTGTGTGTTTGTGTGAAAGAAAGAGGATGAGGATCTATATACATGGTTGTGCCTACAGAACAGCCTTCCTACACTATAACTGTTGTGTAAGTTGAAACAAAAAAATAAAGAAATCACAGCTAATCTTAGACGAGCTTCATTCAACCCTGTAGGTATAAAGGAAAACTGAATGTCTGTATCTTCAGAGGAATGTCTTAAAAAAAAAAAAAAGACTTATTTTGCACTGCACTGAAATCAAACTTGTAATTTAGTGCTTTCATATTCGGGGCGAGGATGAGACAAATCATTCTCTCACTCGTCCTCGCGAGTGTGTACAGTGTATATTGTATAAGAATGTGAGCACATGACTATTTTCTTCAGAACACTGAATGGTTATGCAGTGTTTCAGTTGAATGTGTGTGTGTGTGTGTGTGTGTTTGTCTCAGTCAGAACAAGCATTTCATTACAAGTAGAGGATAAATTTATATCTGTCAGTTCCACGGCTTTGTCAGCAAAATGCCCCACAGTAATGTCTGTAACCCCGCCCGCCCGCCTCCCCTTCCTCCTATTTTTCTATGTGTAAATAGCTACTTAACATGTGCAGCACTTTTAAAACTGAGGCACTGTAAATTTAACAATTAGAACTGTGAGCGAACAAGCTGACAAGTGGAGAGAGGGCGGATTTAGAAAAGTATCTCATGTGTGCTCTCTTCTGGAAAAGAGGAGTAGGAAAATAAAGGCACATTAATGCTGCCTGACTACATATATATAAATGTGTGTGTGTGCGCGTGTGTGTGTGTGTGCGCGTGTCTTTATGTAAATTTCTAATCTGCCATGTGTCATTTTTTTTCATGGACACGCGTTGAACGTCTCTGCTGCTGATCCATGCTTTCATGCCTGTGTGACGAGTTCAGGGGGAAAACTCCCTCCTGAGTAGATGTTTAAAAACGACTAAAAAATGACTGACTTTTCTAACAGCACATGCTTTGGCACAGCACAAAAAAGACTATAAAAGGACAGTTTGAGGTCTCAAAAAGTTGCTCTCACTCTTCACAGTGGATTCAAGTACATCCATCAGTCTACATATGCAACTGTCATAATAACCTGTACTTTGCCCGGTTCATTTCAGTTTGAAGATTTTAAAAAAAATGTTATGGTTCGTGTAAAAGAAGTGAAACACATGTAGTTCTCTGCACAAACGTGGTGTCAAGACTTGAAAATGTCAGAGGTAGGATTTTAACACGATTGTATGTTTTTCTTTTTCCTCTATGTTTTTCCTCCATTCATCACAGCCGCCCTTCTTCCTCCTCCTCCTGTTTCTGGGAAACTCTGAAACCCTGTGGAGGAAGAAAAGACACAAAAAGTAATAAGTTGTATTTTGTCTGTCAAAGCTGCTGAAATACTGATGAAAATAAAAGGGTATCCAATTTAGGTTTCACCTTTTTGTGTGTTTTTGGTGCGGGTTTATTTGCCAACATGTTTCCATTTTTTCAAATATATGTCTGCTCCTAAAATTTACAACTTTCCACAGTTACAAGATTCCCACACATCCTGGAAAACCTGGATATTTGGAGACTTGTTTTCCAGTCATTAAAACACCTGGAACTGTATCAAAATGACCAAATCTCCTGGAAATAATCGATGTTGTCCTGGAAAATGTTAGTTGTATTTTAGCCCTTCAGATTGCCTGCGTGAACCAACGTTGGAGGAAAACTGTCGTCAAATCTCTGGAGACCTACCTGTAATGAATCTGAGACACTTCATCATGAACCCAACATCATTTAAAAAAAGGGAGAATAAAAGTGGAGTGAAATGTGTCTGTGGTGCTGGTAAATAATATGACTGTTTGTATTGTCAAGAAAACTGGAAGATGTCCTGGAAAATGATCAAGCAAAAACTTCTCTAGTTGTTGCTTCTCAAGGATTTGCTGCTTTTCTTTATTTTATATTGTTTTAAAGTGAATATATTTAGGTTTTGGATTGTTGAATACAGTTCAAACATATGAACTCATCTCCCTGGGTTTTTGGAAATTAAAAACAGCCATTTATCTCTATTTTTTTGACATTTTACAGACAAAACAATTTATTATTGTGAAAACAACTCAGATTGATCAATCATGACAATGGTTGGATGGGGCACAGAGTATCAAAGACTATCGATAACCTGCCACTGAGTGCTTGCTGTCATTCGTACTGGTTTGTTTATTGGGCAGTTTCTGATTGAAATCTTTGTTAATTTTAGATTTCATTAATCTTCACAAACAAAACTTAACATTTGAAACATTTTGATACTTTTCTTGCATGAAAAAAAGGTTTTATAGACAAACATGTTTATATTTCTCAGTAAGTTTTCATATAAAACACTATTTTAGCAGCAGTACTGACACTCAGGCATCTTATTGACATTAGTATAGAAAAATGGTACCCAGCATAACAAGTATTTATCAGATCTGGGTTGGGGTTGCTATAAATTGCCACTCTGGAGTGATTTTAAACACTCTAAAGACGCCATATAACTCCTAAATGAAGGGCCTTTACCAGCGTGAACTGAAAGCAGTGCAGCAAATGTTGACACACTTGAGGACATTTATCAGATTTCATCCTCAGTATAACCCATGACACAACAAGCTTATATCACATATGATGTACTGTTCCTCCAGACCTGTCAACTGGCTTTAATGTGAAAAATCAGCATAGTTCCCCCACAATATCGCTTCATGGTCACAGGAGTGCACGTTACCACAATACAAGGCGTAGCAAATAATAACGCTTAAGGAGAAGTAGTCAACAATAAACAGGCACTCAGAAATGGTCCCAGGTGGAGGTCAAGAGTTTGAGTAAACGCAGATATTCATATGATGTTCAAGTGGAAAAACATCATCTGGTCCCCAGAAGGACGCATATAGTGCTGTAGGAAGAGGAAAAACACATTTATATCCACTGAAAATTAATTATAAAAGGCGTACAAGCGTTTTTAATTACTTTTTAATTTATATATGTTTTTTTCTTGGTTAAAATCTGTTAAAGAAATGTTGCTGGCAGATGTAAAAGCTCCTACATCATCGTTTTTTTTTTTTTTTTTGGTATCTTGTTTAAAAAACTTATAGCACGAGTTCATTTCATGCAGCATTTCTTTCAAATTAATTAGTAAAACGATGTTGAAGTTTTGTTTCTGTGACAAGTGGAGGAAGGACCCAGGCAAACTGTGTAAAGGCAGCCTCAAATGAGCTGCACTCAACCGCTGCAGGAGAGTGTGTTTGGACTTTGTGCACATAAATGGTCATGACATTTTACGGCTGGAGTAGTGTAGTGAGTCATAGAAGGGCATTAAGTGTGCGAGTGTGTGTGTGTGTGTGTGTGTGTGTGTGTGTGTGTGAGGGAGACGGAGAAAAATCTTTTTCTTTTGCTCTGCAGCTTTTGACGTGACAGCCTGTTAACATACTGTAGCTTAATGTTACTGTGATGATGGCAGGTCCTTTTAATGTAAGCAAAGCCATGTACACACTCATGTATATACAGTGTGTGTGTGTGTGTGTGTGTGTGTGTGTGTGTGTGTGTGTGTGTGTGTGTGTGTGTGTGTGTGTGTGTGCGAGATAGTGGAGGAATGGGAGCCTGCACCATTACATGTACAGCTGGATTGTGGGAAATATGATGTACGAGAGAAAGCAGCTAAATGGAGTTCAGCCATTGTTAACGTTATTATTTACACCTGAGCTTCTGCTATTGTGTCTATTCATATCAGAGTCTGTCCACATCAGGAGGAGATAGTCCGCTCTCCACTCTTTTTATTAGATAATTTGAGGAGTGAGAACCAGACGGAGGGTGTTTAAGTGACATTTTGGCATTTACCGGCTTAAAGGGCACATGTGAATTCTAAAGCAGTCTGGAGTTATTAATCAAAAGGACCTGATACTGAACGCTCAAAATATTATAAATATATATTATATAAAAAGGCAAAATATAGTTTTGTCTCACCTGTGAAGTTGGTCAAATGTCACACAGGTGTTACAATATATACAAACAGTCTGCTTGGAACAATTTTGGTGTCTGATGTGTTTAATATGCAATAAAAAAGTATATTTTACACATTAAAATCATTTAAAAAAGCACCATTCATTTAAAACTTCCAGAATCTAGGAATATGCAATTTTTTCCCCAGGTTTCCTGCTGGACAGAAGATGTCTCCTTCTTCACTGTAAAGTTGACACATCACACTTGTGTAAGCTGCAAACTGGACCAGAAAAACGAATAAACCTATAAATTTACAGCACGAAACAACATTTTATCACAATTTACCACGTTTTTTGAGATTTTACAAATTACATTATTATTAGAATAATAACTAAAATAACCAACATACTAATTGTTAATGAAAATAATCAGTAATTGCAGCACTATATTTAATTATACGCCTGCTTTCAGTCTCTTTAGTCCTTCACTGTAGCACAGAAAAGGCTCCATAATGCGTACATTTTCTATTTTTTAAGCACAAATGCGTCTCAAATATGAATATTTGCATCTTTTCTCTGTTTCATATGTCTGTAAACTGAATATGTTTGTGTTTTGGACTGTTGGTCAGACAAAGCAAGACAATAAAATAGGCATTCATCACTACTTTCTGACATGTTATGGACCAAAAAAGGGGATGAATCAATTCAAGGAAATAATCAGCAGGTCAATCAATAAAGAAAATAATCCTTCACTGCAGCCAGAAAGTCACTTTAACCTGTAACAGAAGTGGGACATTGTGGCTGTAAGGTGGAGCACCTGAAGGCAGCACGTCTCCCTAAATTCCAATTAGGCTGCAGGATGAACCCACCAGGGCAGGTCCCAGCATGCACCAGGGGTGTGTCTGTTTCCCAGGCTGTCAGTGGACAGATCTGAGCACATTAAAAAACCCCCCATCTTCTACCTTCATTCACCATTCATGCAGACAGGGAGGCTATTTTTAGGATCTCACCTGTTTGTTTCCAAATCCAACACACCTCCAAGGGCGGATGGGGGAGCTGCGCATGCGCGTGTTTAATAAGAAGAAGTGAATGGTCAACAACTGGCACAGCTGGGAGGGTTTGAGTGGGACTTTTTTTAAACAAAAGGCATTGCCTCCTGTTGGTGTTGTAGCATCGTCATCCACGCCCAGACTGTAACAGTAAGTCTGTAAGTCAAGTCAGATAGAATAAAAGCAGAAGTGGGATGCCTTGTTTTCAAAATAAAATGTTTAGTCTTGCACAAGGAGACTCCAGGACAAGTTTTTTTTTAATTTTTTTTTTTATGTGGGATAAATAAACCAAAAATATATACACTTTGCTACATAATATATGCATAATATTAGAGTCATATATTAGCTGCCTTTATTTCCAAACATTCAATAATATTCAATGGTTTGTTCAATGGTTTTGTGGGAATATGCACCACTAATGCACATTTTTACAACATTAAAAGGGCCCTGACCTGATCTCGAAAGGGTCCTTGTGTCAAAACCATCCAAATATAACCATCAAAGAAACAATTAAAACATATATATATATATATATATATATATATATATATATATATATGCATACAAATTAACACGTGTTTTGTGGATTACATATTGTATATTCCTTAATTAATTTGTGTGTAATAAAATCAAATCTGGGACTAGTATTCCAGCATAAAAATTAAATCTTTCCATTCTATAAGTCACAAATTTACCTTTAATATAGGGAAAGTGATGGAAAATCTGTGTATCACTGGTTAACTTTCTTTATTTAGCACCTTTCATACAAACATGCAGCCCAAAGTGATTCACATAGCAAATTCAAACAACACGTAAAAACAAAATAAAATTGTGCAAGGCAAAAAAAATGAATAAAATAAAAACAATAAAATGTAAAAGATCGTAGAAATAACACAATACAATAAATAAAATGAAAGAGTAAAACCTAAAAACTAACATTACTCCAAAGTAAAAGCCAGATTTAAAAGTGAGGTTTTTAAAAACAGAGATGTTACATTCTCATGTAATAATATTTTGATTATAAGTTAATTTTATACTCAAAAGTGTAGATTTATTTTAAAGTTGCCCCATTGAATTGAAGATTTTATTTAAATCATTGAGACAAAGTGCCTTAAGACTCTCTGAACTATACATTATACCTTGATTAAATCCCCTTTAAATGAATTAAACTAATTATAATCTATATTTTAGATTTTTGTTGCTGTTGCAGTTGTTGTAACACATCGGGATAAATTACGGTTTTATTTTGAAAGCTGTAACAGGAAGTCCACCGTTTCACTCCGGCTAACTTAACCCCCCGCGTCTCAGGCGACACCGAGAAGCACCGGGCAGTGCGGTAGGTTTCTGGGGTAGAGAGGTGGCGAGTGCAGCGGGACCGGAGAGCGTCTTGTGGAGGCGGACCTTGTTCAACCTCCATCCCTGTATCAGCTGGAGCTTTAAAGGAGGTGGTGGTGGTGGTGGGGGGCAGGAGCGTCTGTTCGGACAAAGAAGGAGTTTGTACGTTTCTTTTTCCTTCTTTCTGTTTTTTTTAAAAACCAGGGTTTACTGTTTTACTTCACACTAAAGGGATTCGCTTCGGAGCCCCAGGTTTCCCCACCTACCTACCACCCCTGCAGCGCTTGTTTGCACTGGGGTTTACACCGGGGGAGGTTATAAGGCACCAGGGGAGCAGTGCACGTCCAAAACCTGCGCTGCAGCATCAGTAACACCTAGAGCACCGTGCAGCAGCAGCAAGCAGCAGCAAGCAAGCAGCAAGCATGCAGTGAGAGGAAATCCTTTCAGATGCTTTCCCACCTCAGACAGTGAGAGCAAAAAGGGGGTCGGAGGGGAGGAGGATATATGGGAGATTTGTTGGATATTCATCACTCCTTCGTTGCAAAAACTTGTGTCCGGGATGGGGAAGGAGCAGGAGCTGCTGGAAGCCGCCCGGACCGGGAATGTCGCCGTTGTGGAGAAATTATTGAGTGGGAAGAAGGGGATACTGGGGTCAGGCTCCGGCTCCATCCCTCTGCCCAACCTACTGAGGTAAGCAGCCGCTCTCATCTCCTTCTTATGACCGCTAAAGTGTCCTGGGAGCCCCCCCCATTGGGGTGCTGCTGGGGGGATTCCCATGCTGCAAAATTAGGCATAATTCAGCTTTCCTCATTGGTTAATGCACTAGAAATTAGCCACGGAGCCAGTACAACAGTCCCAGCTGCAGTGAGAGCACAATATATATATATATATATTTAGTGCTGTATCAGCTGCACATTTCTTTTCATATGGTGGCCCTGAGGTAGAAAATAAAAAAAACACGATAAAATACACTACATTTGTGTTTTCAAGAGCTGTGTGCAGGGTTGCAACATGCTGCAGGAGAGAGGAGAAAGAAAAGGAACTCTGTTATGCAAACTCAAAGAGTTTTTTGTGAAGCAAATAACACTTTAAAAAAAAATAAAGATAAAGATAGATAGAATAGATTGAATAGCTGCAGGCCAAATATATATATTAAAAAAAGCACATACTGTATCTTTGACAGAATCTATCAATACGTCACTTAAAGGTTAGTCATCTCCTGTCCTCTGTGGGTTGCCAGTGTCGCTTTGAGTGTTGCCCAGCACAAAAAGGAAGGAACAGGCAGTACCTTCAGCCCCACGACACTTGACAGCTGTCAAATTGTTGATTACTTGAACAGCGAGTGTGATTCCTGGATGATGGAGGCATTTTGTATCGACTCTAGTTTGTGCTTTGTGCTTATATGCAAGGAGTGTGTTATGTATTTGTAGTGACTGTGCTGGCATTTAAGGTCTTCTTGGACGTCGCCGTGGTGTTTTTGTATTGCACTATGTCTGCTCACATGATGCCACTGAGGCCTGACGTGCAGGAAGTCCAAGACCACGTGGATTTCCTGAAAAGATGGTGTGTGGATTTGGCTCAAATTGGCTGCTTTTTGAGTTTTAAAATCACTTGCATTGCCTCCACTTGCTGTTTAAGAAGACATGGATGTTGCTTATGTCAACAGGTTAACAGGTGGCAGGGTGTTCGATTGCTTTAGATTTCACCTTATCGCTTTGATTAGAAGATAAATTACATTATTTTTAGTATCTGGTGATGTGACTGTGTGGAGCCGTTTGAAAAATGAGCTCCTAAATTGGTAAAAGATTACAAAATCTTCACATTCGAGACCCACTCGAAGCCTCTTTTCCTTTCCAAAACTCAAACCACAAAAGGCTTCAATCTGGCTTCGAGGGGGAACAACTGCTGAGGATATTATTGTCCCCCCCTTCCTCCTCCTCCTCCTCCTCCTTCTCCCACTCACCCTCCTCTCTGCTGAGGCTGAGGCTGAGCCAGGTGATTAGGAGATCAAAGGCTGGGGGGCGTCCGGGAGGAGTACCGCCTCGGGCCCATCGAGTAGAGAGCGTCTCACGACCGGGGCTGAGGTCGGGAGGACGCCAGCCACTAGCACACTGAGCCAAGAGCTTCTCAAACCAGGGGAGGACTCCTGCAAAGGGCAAGAACTGAACTTGTTTAAGTTTAATTTAAACACTTTAATTCACTGGAAGTTTGTTCCAGGAGTGTTAAAAAATACAGTTTGTGCTCAGAGGCTTCCCCCTTCGTCCAAATGTGAACCGAGCTTTGAGCTTTCTTTGAGTTTTCTGACATTATAGCAGTTGTTGATTGTTAATCCTCTGTGAGTACTGCATCTAATGGAAACTGCAAAGAAGAAGTAAGAAGCAAAATCTGGTTCACAACCGGCTGCAACAAGTGGGGTCGAGATGTGGTGAATTGACACCCACGTTTTAATTATGTCTGTTTGTTTCTGTTCATCTTTTTCTGCGCAGAGTTTCCTCTTTGAGATAATATAAAGGTTTAGGTGGGGGAAGGAGTTCACTCAAGTGGCTTTGCATGCAGAAGTAGGCTTGCTGCGTAAAAGCTGTGTCCCAATTTCATATTGCTCCATGCAAACTGTGTACAGAAGTGTTTACTAATTGTCCTTAATTAGCGGTGGCGGCTTTAGGGATGTTGGTCAGTCCACCACTTTGTTCCAGACTGAAATATCTCAACAACTATCAGATGGATTGCTGTGAAGTTTTGTACATCCATTCATGGTCCATGAAGGATGAATCCTACTGACTTTGGTGATTCTCTGACTTTTTCTACTAATGATACAGTCATCGTGCTGCTGTTGTGCGTGTCGGCTCACTGGAAAGGCTCGGCTACACTAAATGGAACAGGACCCTTAATTAGCATCATTGCGAACACCTGTGTTTACCTCACTTTGATGTCAAAATGGCTGCTGTGAAACAGGTCTAACTTTGGTTTGTGTTTAATTATCTGCAAAGCTACGGCATTCCTGTCAGCCTCAGCTGTACTGTGTGTTTTATGCTAATTAGCTAATGATAGGGCGTGGTGAGGTCATATTTCTGGAGCTTTCAGCCACATCTCATGGCTTTCATCAGGAGATGCCGTTTGCTCGGGTTGTCATGGAGCTATCATGTGACCTACATCAACAACAAAGTCAAAAAGCGAGTATTTTTAGTATGCATAAGGACTGAGTACTTTATTTTGTCACTTTTCCCGTGTGAACACCCTCAAAACTTCATTATAATTAGTGTGTATCGTAGACTTTCACGTTGGATGTTTGTCCTTCACGCCATGAATTTCTGTTGATAAAAGGGACTTAACGGAATATATACACCCAATTTGTTACTGTATGTATCTCATCTCCCACGTCCCAAAACTGTAAACATTGTTGCATCGCATGTTTGCTTTGCACATTAGAATTTAATTGAATTTATTGAAGGACGGTGATTATTTACAGAACGCTGAATTCATTTGAAGCTCACTGAGGAGATTAAGAATGACACAACCAAAGGAAAACGTTGGGAGAGCAATCACAATAATAGTTCAAGAAACAACACACAACAGACAGAACAAAACTCAGACTGATATGGAGAGTGAAGGCGAGGTCAGATGCATTATGGGTGGAAAAAAAACAGTAGGTTTTGGCGTCGTGTCAGTGTCAGTGAGTTATGTCTACTGTGTTACACACACTTGGGTTTTACTGGGTCAAGACACCGGTACACGAGCCGACGTGTCTGCACATCTGTGTCTGAGTGACCAGTGGTGTGACGCACCTCCTAATAGAGAGCTATGTTGTACTTTTACCAGATGAGTGAGTCCACACAGAGGTCACAGCGGAGGAGTGTGCGCGGAGGCTAATGTTATGGGAATGATGTCCGGGAATCAATGCATACTTTCCCATCTTAAGGCCTCTGAGCCATTCGTAGCATTCCTAAGTCATGAGGTTCCTCTTTTCACTGAGGGAATCGCACTAAACCTCCAAGTGGGACGTGAACATGCACCCACATACTGTATACACACACACACACACACACACACACACACACACACACAAGCACAGGATGCAGAGAAGATGATACTCTGGCTGTAATGCAGCAGTTTGGTGGTGTGGAGCAGAGCACACCAACACACACGTGCACAGTGGAAAATCAATACTGGATGATCTCATTGCTGTTTTAATGGGTCATATTCTCTTGTAGATGACCTGCACTGTACACGGACCACTGTGTGTTTGTGGGTTTCGGTGCTAGAAGGGGAAAACACTTCCTTTTTAAAATGCTTTAACATAGCTGTCAACACATCCAGCTATAAGTCGGATCATACTGGGGAAATGTAGACGATACGGTATCATACTGGGATATATCCTGTGGCTTTAATTGTGTTTAAAAGAAGGGAACATTACATACATGTAACATAAACTGCATTTAGATGCATTTAATAGCAAGTGCTTCTTCCTAGAGTGTCCATATTGCAAAAACCATCATCTAAGAAGGTAGGAAGATAGACTTTAAGCTATTCCTGTGATGTATTTGTTCGCACAGGGTTTGTATTTGCTATATAGTCATTTTAATTCCCTCTGAGGTTTGATATGTACTGGAAGCAATCCCTACTTGATGCCCTGTTAGTGTTGTCTCTGTGTGCCTCTCTCTCGTCCTAGGACTATGGGAGTACTGGCAAGTAACCCTGAACACACAGCTAACTGCTGTACCAATAACATTTTAACTGTGTTGTATTGTCCTTGGTGACCTCTCTGTTCAGTTATGTGCATTTGTGTCCCACTGGAACAAAATACAAAAAGACAATTGAAAAAGAAAGTTTAAAAAAAGGTGGATTTTAAGCATTTTATTATGGTTTTTTTTGCACATTTTTCTCCCCCAATACTGATTCCAGTACCCACACTCATGTAATCTGCTGATACAGAAATCTCTTTCCCCAAACTTACAATTTGTTCACTGTGACTGAATGTAACTTACAGCAAAAACACTGAAATTTGTAACAAAATTGAAGAAGAAATTGCATTCGATATTGATTGGTCACATCTGGCTGATACCCGATCCGCTCAATCCGGTCTATACTAGCACTGATACCAATCTGGTGGATCAGATTAGTGTTACCAGTGTATCTCTCGTGTAAATGCAACTGTATCTTTCTTGAAGATTGGTTGGAAGGAACCACAAACCAAACAGGAGAAGCTGGGACAGATTAAAGGACCAGTGTGTAGGATTTAGTGGCATTTAGTGGTGAAGTGGCAGATTGCAACCATTTGAATACTGCTCAGCCTTCCAAGCGGGGAGTAGAAATTACTGTGGCTTTGAAACCCTCAGTAGGTTAAAAACAGCTCATTCAAAGATTATTATCACTTATTTTCAAGTGATTATACAGTAATATAAACATACTTATTAATATTATATTCCATTTCTTCCAATAGATCCTCCTAAATGTTACCCGCTGGACCTTTAAAGGCAAAGATATAAAATATCTTATGCAACACATTACCGTAAACTTACTTTTTATTGCTTTTTATGGGGGAAGGTCACCCTAAACGATAAAGTTGGCGAGGATTAATAACACTGTTGGATTGCTACGGATACATATGTTCATATACGCACGCAGCTTTTCGTAGCACTAGCACCGCGTGTGTTGAGGAAATGAGGATAGATGCATGTTCTGTGTGTGACAAC